CCTTTCTAAAAAGCCTGTGGGAGGAGGGGGTTTGGTTATGAGATGTCTCAAAGCTCGGGGTGGCCATTACCAGTTCGGTGCCTTTTCTGGAAGGCTGTGAACGAGGCGAGCAGAGAAGAAGCACCATAGGACAAGGCCGAGCGATTGAACAGATACATGCAAGCTTGAGCAAGCGCATGCGACAAGAAGGGGAGCAAGCGCATGCGACAAGAAGGGGAGCAAGCAACCACACGCACGAAGGCGAGGTTGAGGGAGGAGAAGGTTCTGTGATGCCTTCACATCCCAGTTCCCCTCCCTTCTTCTCCCTCAACCTCCCTCCTCTTCTGCGATGCCTGCATGACATCACAGAACTGGGATGTGAAGACAGCAAGGTCGGTAGGGGTCCTAGTTCACTATCACTCTCACCACTCCTCACCGCAAGGGAGGAGAGTACCTCACCGCTCTCGCTCATCTCAGTAGGCAATGCGTTGTACTTGCACGTACAAAGGCGAGGTTGAGGGAGGAGAAGGGCTGTGCGGCCTGCATGACGTCACAGAACTGGGAGGTGAAGACAGCCAGGTAGGGATTCTCGTCCACGATCACTGCCACCCGCCCTGATGCCAGTGACGATGCGTACTCGCTCTCCCCACTCAACGTCACCAGCTTGTCCTGATGGCGTTCCGGGGGTGCGTGGAGGGGAAGTGGCAGGAGACAAGGCAGAGGAGCAGAGGTTGAGGGGGTGATTTAGTTGTCATTAATCGCACGTGGGGGACTGAGCACGCGTTAGTGCTGCAGGACAAATTTTCCATTTTTGGAAGACGTACGTGCATGAGCTAGCCCGCAAAATCGATGCCATGCTATTGCAAATTCAAAACGTGCGTGCAGCGGCAACGTTACAAGCCCCAAGAATGCAATGCACCAGTACTGTCACCAAAAGTTCCGTGTTTTGAGACGTCTCAAAAAAGCGTGTTTTGAGACGTCTCAAAAAACATTACAAGCGCAAAGAATGCAAAGCACCAGTACTGTCACCAAAAGTTCCAAGCATGCATGCAATATCGGAGAGACTCCTAGCTGCTGCAGGTACGCCGAGACGAATGAGGCCTGCTGGTAGCCGATGGCGGCGTTGCTGTTGATGGCCGTTGTGATGTCCTGATGGGGCGAGGGAGGAGTGACGAGGGGTGGGGGAAGCAGAGGGTGGGAGAGGGTGGGTGGGGCCGTTTGAGTCTACTGCAAAGCCCTGCTGGTAGCCGATGGCGGCGTTGCTGTTGATGGCCGTGCCGTGCTGATGTCCTGATGAGTGGGGGAAAGGGAGAATGATGAAGTGACGGGGGTTGGGTTGGGGAGGCAAAGGCCAGTGGGCTCAGATCATGGATGGAATGGTAAGTAAGTAAGGACAGCATCGTGCCATGAGCTATGGTGAATGGTGGATGTGGGATTTTGAAGGAAAGTGTGAGTGTGTGCAGGTTGGTGAGGTCGACAGGGAGCTGAATGTACACTAGTCGACTCGAAAATCATCTGCGGGATATCGAAGGGAGTGCACATGGCAGAGAAACTCACAGCTGGGATAACGGCAAAGGGAAACTAGAGCACGAGATTAAAGCGGTCAAGTGAAAGAACTGGAATGGTAGGGGGTGAGAGAGAGGGGCTCATGAGAGTGGTGGGGGTGAGCCTGTGAATGGTGAGAATTGCAGTGAGGTTGGAGATGTAGGCGGCGAGGAAGTGAAAGGTGGGAACATGAACAAAGATGTGAAGACAATGCAAGCGCACCAGAATGGTGGGGGTGAGCCTTTGAATCGTGAGGATGGCAGTGAGGTTGGAGGTGTAGGAGGCGAGGAAGAGGAATGCGAGAATGAGCCACATGCCCAGCACCGTGCGTGCTAGCACAGAGCGGATTGAGTAGACTGCAAATAGCAGATAGCAGGTTGTGGAATGGGAAGAGAGGATGAGTGTGTGCTGTCAGGCGACCAAGAGGCGGGCGGGTGGGAGTAAGGACGGGAATGTGGAGCAGACGTGTTTTTTAGTAATCAGCTCAGGAAGGCATACATATATACATGTGAATATATATATGTATATATATATATATATATATATATATATATATACATAACAAGAGAATGTGAACCCTGCGCCTCTGCAACTCAGCTAATTTGGCAAGAAGATGCCGAACAGCTAGCTTGTTATATTAAAAAAAAAAAAAAAAAAAAAAAAAAAGAGGTAAATTTCCCTCCTTTATCAAGGCAAAGTCTCCAGGAAAGCCTGCAGGGCAGAAGGGCCTACCTATGACAGAGTAGAGAGTGTGAAGGCCAAACCTGCCACAAAACCCAGTGGTACACAAGAAGCAGCAGGCGCTTGGCATTGTACGCACTAGCAGCACAGAAAAACGTGACTTTTTTTTTACACTTTTGAGACATCTCAAAACTTGGTGCACACAGCCCTGGATGGGCACAAGACTGCGCGCGATCCAACCAACGCAGAGGAACATTGGCAGCCCTCAATCAACTGGTGCTTGGCGCAGGCAGCAGTGAAGGGACTTCTTGAGTCCTAAGTTGGAAAAAACGCTTGTTTGAAGTTGCGTATTGAGTTTATACGCGTCTAGAATTCGTACGCTGCGTATTTTTCTAAAATTCGCCAGATTTCGCTTGGGCTGACCGGAAAAAAAATCATCAGTTGAGTTCGCGAACTGGCGAACTCAAATTTGAGGTCGTGTCCGTAGGGATGACATGTCAAATGGGCAGTGTCAAATATGCATTTTGACACTCAGCCAACATTGTTGGCAGAGTGTCAAGAATTTGCAGGTTGCCAGCCAATACAAATCGTCGGGGACTTTCTGTTTTGGCACATCATACCTACAAACGAGAGAAGATTGTTGCAGCTGCATATCTCACGACCAGGTACTGCCCAATCAGCAAACACCTTCTCCAATCATCTTTCTTTCGATTCGTTTACTGCCTATAAGGTCTACAAATGACAGGTTCTCCAACCAATGAAATTTCATCGCTGATGTTCGCACATGCGCTTCGACTTGACACTACAGCTACAGTGTTTGACACTCTAGCTCGAAAGCGCTTCGGGTTGACACGCCCTTGTTGACATGTCATCCCTACGGACACGAACTGAGTCTCGAAATTCAGATCTGAGTTCGCGCATTGCAAATGCTACCTCGGATCTAAATTTCGAGATTGTTTGGTGGATAATCCCCTCCTATCCACCGCTCAACAACCCACTCCAACCCCATCATATTGGCCCTGTTCGATAGCAGGGTGAACGAGAAGAAGAAAACTTGGAAACGGTGGGGAGAATTGGGCGGGAATCTACGTGGCACTCCTTGCGACGAGTCCGAGTTCCCGCTAGCGCGAACGATCCCACTGCGATGTCTCGGATTTCCCGCCTTCGCGGGAAAACAAGGCGGGAAGTTCAACAATGGTTCCAGACGCCGAAGCGCGCCCCAACAGTGACTCTCGCCCAATGATTACATCCTCGTCACAGCTCCTCTCGGGCAAAACGCCGCTCTGTTACCACACCAATGCCATTTCTACTTTTCGGTGAAGGAGCAACGGTTTCTGTCGATTGGGGTATTGAGGGATATCTTAGGTAAAATAACAGTCTAAACCAGTGGCATGCCCACTCCTTGGGACACAGCTCACTCGATTTGGAACCGCTCTGTAAAACACTATATATTTTTCAGAGGGAATATTTTGATTGCGATACTTTTTCTGACGCTGACCATGGTTCCGCCAGGGCCCGGGTCAGAAAAAAAACACAGAATGTTTCCACACCAATTGGCCGTTGATGTGGTGTTTCCGAACACCTCGGCCGTTAGACCTGCAGAAAGAAGCCGGCAGGCAGTCGGCTTCAATCATTACGCTGCCGGCGGTGCCGAACGAGCACCGTTTGTCTTTATGCTCCCACCGTTGTGCTTGGACAATGGTTGGGGGCTTTTTGCCGAATTGCTAGTTCGATAGCAATTCGGCAAAAAGCCCCCAACCATTGTCCAAGCACAACGGTGGGAGCATAAAGACAAACGGTGCTCGTTCGGCACCGCCGGCAGCGTAATGATTGAAGCCGACTGCCTGCCGGCTTCTTTCTGCAGGTCTAACGGCCGAGGTGTTCGGAAACACCACATCAACGGCCAATTGGTGTGGAAACATTCTGTGTTTTTTTTCTGACCCGGGCCCTGGCGGAACCATGGTCAGCGTCAGAAAAAGTATCGCCATCAAAATATTCAATCTGAAAAATATATAGTGTTTTACAGAGCGGTTCCAAAACGAGTGAGCTGTGTCCCAAGGAGTGGGCATGCCACTGGTTTAGACTGTTATTTTACCTAACATATCCCTCAATACCCCAACCGACAGAAACCGTTGCTCCTTCACCGAAAAGTAGAAATGGCATTGGTGTGGTAACAGAGCGGCGTTTTGCCCGAGAGGAGCTGTGACGAGGATGTAATCATTGGGCGAGAGTCACTGTTAGGGCGCGCTTCGGCGTCTGGAACCATTGTTGAACTTCCCGCCTTGTTTTCCCGCGAAGGCGGGAAATCCGAGACATCGCAGTGGGATCGTTCGCGCTAGCGGGAACTCGGACTCGTCGCAAGGAGTGCCACGTAGATTCCCGCCCAATTCTCCCCACCGTTTCCAAGTTTTCTTCTTCTCGTTCACCCTGCTATCGAACAGGGCCAATGTGTTGCCAACCCCAACCAGACCCATCCTCCCCACTCAATGTTAGGTCGTTTTTCCCTTCGATAATCTCCGCGTTCGATTTTTTCCTCCCCTTATTTTACTTGCGACGATGACGTACTACCGCAGCGCCCGTCTCCATCTCTTGACCTAGCATCTAACATGCCCGGGAAAAACCTTTTCCTGCCCGGGCAAGCGTATTCATGTGCGTACCAGACCCCTCTTGGCCAGCGTTTTGCGTTTATACGCTAGCGTTTATACGAAAGCGTACAAAACGCAATACGCGTTTTTTCCAACTTAGCTTGAGTCGACTCAAAGTCGGCAAGTTGACTGGCCATCGTCCCCTTCCTCTCACCATGCAGCAGTGATGGCGAGCTGATGCAGCTTCGCTCGAAAGTGCACGTTGAGGCGCCACTCAAGGAACACCATGAGTGCGCCTGTGAGCAGCGAGAGGCCGAGCAGAGTGGCCCACATGGAGGGCGTGAAGGGCAGAAACGCCACCCACATGTCGCTGCTCTCCCTTGAGTACCCTATCAGACCCGATTGCTGCCAAGGGAAAGGAAGGGAAGGATGTTTTGAGGGTGGGGGGTGCCTTTGCGTTTGCGTTTGCGCTGACTAAGAAAAAAAACCCTAGCCAGGCATGGATAGATTGGGAGTCGTCACAAAAAAAAAAAAAAAAAAAATCAATCCTTGGCATTCACCAAGTACGCAGGCAGGCAGACACGTACAAGGATGGATTCGGTAAAGTAAACCATTCGCTGGCGTGTGTCAACCACTGTGATGTCACCCACTGCCCCGTCAAACTCCTACGGGCAGAGCAGGCGGAAAGGAGCACACAGTGGGCCAAGCAAAATGGGCCGCAGGTAGAGATAGAATAGCGGGTGGCAGAGCCAGCGAGTCCACTACTGCCCCGTCAAACTCCTACGGGCAGGGCGGTGGCGCCAGTGGGGAAGGAAGGGCACACAGAGGGGCGAGTGTGAAATGGGCGACGGGGAGAGACAGCATAGAGGGTGGCAGAGACAGCGAGTCGACCACTGCGATGTGGTGGCCCACTGCCCTGCCAAACTCCTGTGAGCTCCAGCGGGATGGCCAAACTCCTGTGAGCCAGATGGTTTTTGAGGCACCTCAAAAATCGTCCCCAAAATCTTTCGAGGCGCCTCAAAAATTGGCTAAAAAAATCTTTTGAGGCGGCTCACAAATTAGCCCAAAAATCTTTTGAGGCGACTCAGAAATCGGCCCACCGCCCCGTCAAACTCCTGAGGGCCAGATGGCATGAGTGGGACAGCGACACACGAGAGGTGACTTTTGAGTCGACTCAGAAGTCACCTCGAAAGAGATGCAGAGGGAGATGATGGCACGAGCGGGACAGCGACGACATACGAGATGATGGCACGAGTGGGACAGCGACACACGAGATGATGGCACGAGTGGGACAGCGACACACGAGATGATGGCACGAGTGGGACAGCGACACACGAGATGATGGCACGAGTGGGACAGCAACACACGAGATGATGGCACGAGTGGGACAGCGACACACGAGATGATGGCACGAGTGGGACAGCAACACACGAGATGATGGCACGAGTGGGACAGCGACACACGAGATGATGGCACGAGTGGGACAGCAACACACGAGATGATGGCACGAGTGGGACAGCGACACACGAGATGGTGGCACGAGTGCGACAGCAACACACGAGATGATGGCACGAGTGGGACAGCGACACACGAGATGATGGCACGAGTGGGACAGCGACACACGAGATGATGACACGAGTGGGACAGCGACACACGAGATGATGGCACGAGTGGGACAGCAACACACGAGATGATGGCACGAGTGGGACAGCGACACACGAGATGGTGGCACGAGTGGGACAGCGACGACATACGAGATGATGGCACGAGTGGGACAGCGACACACGAGATGATGGCACGAGTGGAACAGCGACACACGAGATGATGGCACGAGTGGGACAGCGACACACGAGATGATGGCACGAGTGGGACAGCAACACACGAGATGATGGCACGAGTGGGACAGCGACACACGAGATGATGGCACGAGTGGGACAGCGACACACGAGATGATGACACGAGTGGGACAGCGACACACGAGATGATGGCACGAGTGGGACAGCAACACACGAGATGATGGCACGAGTGGGACAGCGACACACGAGATGGTGGCACGAGTGGGACAGCAACACACGAGATGATGGCACGAGTGGGACAGCAACACACGAGATGATGGCACGAGTGGGACGGCAACACACGAGATGATGGCACGAGTGGGACAGCGACACACGAGATGATGGCACGAGTGGGACAGCGACACACGAGATGATGGCACGAGTAGGACAGCAACACACGAGATGATGGCACGAGTGGGACAGCGACACACGAGATGATGGCACGAGTGGGACGGCAACACACGAGATGATGGCACGAGTGGGACGGCAACACACGAGATGATGGCACGAGTGGGACGGCAACACACGAGATGATGGCACGAGTGGGACGGCAACACACGAGATGATGGCACGAGTGGGACAGCGACACACGAGATGATGGCACGAGTGGGACAGCGACATACGAGATGATGGCACGAGTGGGACAGCGACACACGAGATGATGGCACGAGTGGGACGGCAACACACGAGATGATGGCACGAGTGGGACGGCAACACACGAGATGATGGCACGAGTGGGACAGCGACACACGAGATGATGGCACGAGTGGGACAGCAACACACGAGATGATGGCACGAGTGGGATGGCAACACACGAGATGATGGCACGAGTGGAACAGCAACACACGAGACGATGGCACGAGTGGGACAGCGACACACGAGATGATGGCACGAGTGGGACAGCGACACACGAGATGATGGCACGAGTGGGACGGCAACACACGAGATGATGGCACGAGTGGGACGGCAACACACGAGATGATGGCACGAGTGGGACAGCGACACACGAGATGATGGCACGAGTGGGAGAGCAACACACGAGATGATGGCACGAGTGGGACGGCAACACACGAGATGATGGCACGAGTGGGACGGCAACACACGAGATGATGGCACGAGTGGGACAGCGACACACGAGATGATGGCACGAGTGGGACAGCGACACACGAGATGGTGGCACGAGTGGGAGCTGCAGAGAATTTATAAGAAACAAGAAAGCTGTGATTCACTCTCCTGCTCTCATTTCTGCCCTCCTCTCTGCATCCCATTCTGCAACGCATTATAGCCTCACCTTATTCTGTACAGCCTGCACCATCTGGGTGTAGCTGACGAGGGCACCGGTGTACTCTACAAACTCGTAGTCGAGCTTATAAGGGAGACGGCCCACGGCCAGGCGGAACAGATCCACACAGTAGCCAGAGAACCGCTCGTTGCCCAGTGACTCGTCCGATGAGATATTGGCGAATTGCAGGTAGATCTGTTATGGGAGACAGGCACAGGAAAAAATTGAGGCGCCTCATAAACATGGCCTCGCCAAGTCATTAGGGGAGATAATGTCAAATTGTAGGTAAAATGCATAACTTGGTTCTATTGAATTCTCCTACAAAAACTGGTTTTCGCACCATAATTTTGAATACTTGGGTTGAGCAATGCCTACATACAGTGATGCTTATCTCCGATACCAACCAAGAACAGGACTTACGAGCTTCTTTGGAACGGCGATCCGAACTCGCCGCTTGGGAAAGGCTCCTCTCGGAGGCTGAGAGTTGGTAAGAGAAGAGAGGGTTAGAATGAGGGACGAGCAGACAGATTGGAGACGGAACCACACAAGACGCACAAGGCATAGAAAGAGTGTTTTTTGAGGCGTTTCAGATGTCAAAGCAGGGCAGGCTGCATGATTGGTTCCAAGATGAGGTGTGCTGATAGACAGGAGTTGTGTGCCACAGTGATGTGCTGCTGTGCAGCACACTCAACAGCTGAGCTGAGAATGCACTTGTGTGAGGAGTCCAGTTTTGAGGTGCCTCAAAACCAGTCCAGTCCAGTTTTGAGGTGCCTCAAAACTAGAACGCACGCACCTGTGTGAGGCCGCCAGGAAAGACAATGTTGACTGGCTGCTGCGCCCCACCAGCTGTAGCATTCTCCTGCCACAAAACCGACCGAGACAAGGAGGAAAAAGGAAGACTGGGTTGACCTTTGAGGCACCACAAGTCTTTTGAAACAATGACGCCTCATGAAACCCTGACTGGCTGCTGCAACCCACCAGCTGTAGCATTCTCCTGCCACATGACCGACCACGACAAGGAGGAACAAGGAAGACTGGGTTGACTGAGAAAGCAAGCAACAATGAACAAGGAAGGCTGGCGTTGCAGCCAATCTCAGTATGCATCGAGCACATGTTCGTTGCCTTTTCTCAGTTGCAGTTCCTGCAGTCACTCGTAAGCGCTCACCGAAGCAGCAGCTGTTTGATAGAGGCCGCGCGTGGGAGACCAGTACCCCACAGGCACCACCTCCACGTTCCCTGCCAGGCTCACTGGCCCGGTCACTGAACCACCGAGTGAACCACTGCCTGAACCACTGCCTGAACCACTGCCTGAACCACTGGCATCCGTAGGGGACTCCGTTGACTGGCTTGACTGGCTTGACTGGTCAGTGGTTGCAGATGGTGACGCGGATTGGCCGGCACTTGTATTAGATCCAGTGATTGGAGATTGATCTGTGGTTGTGGCTGCAGCTGCATTTGTAGTTGCACCTGTAGCAGGATCTGTAGCAGCAGCAGGGGTGCTGCTCTGCGAGGCTTGGCTGTGGATGTTGAGGATGCGCGTGAGGTTGCTCTGCTGGTCGCCCTGGGGGGACAGCGCAATGCTGCCTGATGCGCCCTCGAATCTGGTTCTCAGCATGGCTGCTCGCAGCATGGGACCCACTGGTATGAGGGGGGTTGGCATGGGAGGGGGTGGCGGGAGGGGAGGGCATGAACAGTGGCTGTGGACGTTGAGCATGTGGGGGTTGTGAAAGTGTGGGTGTGGGGGGGGGGAGGACAGGACAGGATATAACAAAGAGCAAATTGATAGCAGATACGAGTGTGATGGGAGAAGCCACAAAGGGGGAAAGGAGGGGGAGAGGGGGGTGAGAGGAGAATCGGAAAGAAGGGAGAGGAGGGAAAAGAGGGGGGGTTCTTACAAGGGCTTCTATGGAGTAATGCAAGAGGGGGGATAAGAGCCTGCTCCGCACCACTGCTGCTGCTGCTGCTGGCGAGAAACAGATGGAGTGTTGGCCAGGGTGAGTCAAGTAGATCCGTGAGGTTGCTGTGGGGCTCTGTGGTGGTGGTAGAGGTGTCAGGGGAGGAGGAGTTGGTGGTGCTGCTGGCGGAGCTGCTGTTATAGAGGATGGAGTGTAGAGCATGAGCGATGAGGTAGACTGCATCATAGGAAGCCAGGGCATAGGCCATGGGCATCTGTGACAGAGGGGGGAAGGAGGTGCAGCAAGAAGAAGACATTTCAGTCGACTCAGAAGTCACCTCGCGATGAGGTAGACTGCATGGTGGGAAGCCAGGGCATAGGCCATGGGCATCTGTGGCAGAGGGGGGAAGGAGGTGCAGCAGGGGAGAGAGAGGTACAGCAAGGGAGAGAGGCATGCACCGGGATAGAGAGAAGCATACTTTTGAGAATTCTCAAAAGTAAAATTCACGGAGAGAGGCATGCACCGGGATAGAGAGAAGCATACTTTTGAGAATTCTCAAAAGTAAAATTCACGGAGAGAGGCATGCACCGGGATAGAGAGAAGCATACTACTTTTGAGAATTCTCAAAAGTAAAATTCACGGAGAGAGGCATGCACCGGGATAGAGAGAAGCATACTTTTGAGAATTCTCAAAAGTAGAATTCACGGAGAGAGGCATGCACCGGGATAGAGAGAAGCATCGGGGATGAGGAGAACAGAGTGATGTGCAATGGTACGAAAGGAGGGGGGCGAGGAAAGGAAGATGGGGAGCCCTCGTGGAGACCAAGAGAGTTGAAGCCATTGCCACGGCAAGAGTGACAGGCAATCACCCAACACACACACACACACACACACACACACACACACACACACACACACACACACACACACACATCCCACATACACACATACAAACACCCCCCCCTCCTTCGCCCTTCAACACACACACACACACAAACACACACACACACACACACACACACACACACACACAGACACACACACACACACACACACACACCTGGCGGCTGACGTTGGGGAAGCGCACAGGGTCGAGTGTGAGCCACTTTGAGACAAAGGCAGCCAGAGGAGCGGAGGTGGGGATGTCAGTGGCCGTCACTATCATACCCTGGCAGGAAACGGGGGAGGAGGAGGGCAGGGCACTGTATTTAGGTGTCTAAAAGGAGGAGGCGGAGACGCCTAAAATAATGGATGTCAGTAGCCACAAGAGTGGGAAATAACAAACAGTAGGGCAGGGAAAGGACCAAGCCATTGTGGGAAAATGTGGATGAGACCAGCAGACAGACCTGTGCGTAGGGTGTTTTGGAGAATTCTCAAAAAAAGACCTGAGCGTAGTGCAGGGCGGAGCCAGTGAGCAGCGCCCTCCCTTCCGTTGCAATCCACACGTTGTTGGCAGAGAACAGACCCAACCTGTTCGCTGCACAGGCACGTATGTACAATGGGAGGAGGCGGGCAGACAAGGGGGAAGATGGCCGGCAGCGGAGGAAGGTGGCGGCTCGACGGCAGGGAAGGGAGGTGGGGAAACAATGAAAATCCTCTTCCTCACTCACTCACACTTTCTCCCACTAAGTACCTCACTCGCTCTCCCCATCTCTAACATACACACACTCTTCAACGCACCAGCACAGCAAGCATAACCGCCATGGCAACACCAGCGGATGCGTGCAACAGCCATATCCACATCCAACAGCACTTGCAGGCGCTGCTACTATGCGAAATGAGACGAGTTCCAAGCGACTCACACGAATCCACACCACACGCACCTGCCAAAATGACGCTCGTAGCAACAGCAGCAGAGGCATGCAGCACGTACACAGCCGTGTCCACCTCTAGCAGCAGCTGCAGATGCTGCTCCACCTCTGCTGCCGTGCTCCCTGGAGTGATGGCCACTCGATGAGCCATGCTGATGCCTTGCTGGGGATCACGAGGGGGAAGGGTTATGTGGGAGGTGGGGGAGACGGAAGGGTTGGAAGGGAGACAGGGCTGGCTTGGAGTGCTGGATGCTCACATTGGGCGCAAGCATGCATGCATGCTTCCAGCTCCGTGCTGCCTTTTGAGTTGAGGTGCCTCAAAAGGGCAAGGATGGGGGGCACGGCCGGGAGATTGGATGCTATACTGGATTGACGAGCTGCCTTTTGAGAGTTCTCAAAAAGTAATGGATGATGATGCTCACGCTGAGTTGAGTGCGAGCACGCATGCTTCCAGCGCACAGTCTGGTGCGGGATTCCAGAATACATCATACAGCATATGACATACTTGGTTGAGTTGTGAGAGTTTTCAAAAGATAATGGATGATGACGCTCACGTTGAGGGCAAGCACACAAGCTTCCAGTGCCGTGATGCCATTGCCTCCATAGCGGTCGTCGCTGTGAATGGCAATGAATGCCTTCCACTGGTATATTGCCAGAATGTCTGTGGTGTTGTTGGGGCAAGGAAGGATGGGCGGATGTGGCATCAGCAATAAAGATGGCAACGGATGACAACCAGCATTGGAACGAGAGCATAAGAAGAAGGTGGGTGGGTGGGGGGGAGGGGGGGTGCTGCTTACTGTGAGCGGTGCAGTAGTAACCAGCAGCTGCAGACACAAGGCAGTGCAGGAAGCTGCAGCGGAAGTGGGAGAGCACGAGTGCAGTGCAGCATACCAGCAATGGCGCGCATCTGGTGGCCGTCGTCCTGCACGGTGCGCATGAATAAAGTGGCGCGTGCTGCCCACAGTGAGCACCGGAACCCACCCCACCCCCACCCCACCCCACCCACCGGCAATGGCGCGCATCTGGTGGCCGTCGTCCTGCACGGTGCGCATGAAGAAGGGGCAGCTGGTGCCATGCCCAAGTGAGCCGCACGCCTGTATCTTACCGGCTATCACACAGAGAGGCTGGGGATACAGGTGAGGGAAAGGAAGAGAGCACACACACACACACACACACACACCCACCCACCCACCCACCCACCCACCCACCCACCCACCCACCCACCCACCCACCCCTACCGGCAATGGCGCGCATCTGGTGGCCGTCGTCCTGCACGGTGCGCATGAAGAAGGGGCGCGTGCCGCCCACAGTGAGCTGGGCGTCGGTGGCGGAGGCAGACACGAAGGGCACTTGAGTGGCCGTGGCGAATGGGCTCACCAGCGCTGCCTGCTCCGATGTGTGCGGTCCTATCACCGCCACCGGCCGCTGCCGCACCAGGCTGTAAGCTGAGGGGAGCAGGGGGACGGAGGGGAAGGGGTGGTATTGTATTGAGCTTTGAGTGGCCCTGGCGAATGGGCTCACCAGCGCTGTCTGCTCCAACGTGTGTGGCCCTATCACTGCCACTGGCCGCTGCCGCACCAGGCTGTAGGCTGGTGGGACCAAGGGAAGCGGGGGGAGAAGGGGGCGGGGTACTATATTCATTTTGAGACGTCTCAAATCGCGTGGCCGTGGCGAATGGGCTCACCAGTGCTGCCTGCTCCGACGTGTGCGGCCCTATCACCGCCACTGGCCGCTGCCTCACCAGGCTATAGGCTGGTGGGGTGGGGAGAGGACGGTGAATAGGGGAGCAGGCGTGGAGGCAGAGAGTAAGGGAGCAGGCAGGGACGATATGGTTGGGAGTGAGGGAGGATCACTGCCACTGGTTGCTGTAGCACCAGGCTGTAGGCTGAGAATATGTTGTTCTATAGGAGGGGAGAGAGAGCACAGAAGGGGAAAGAGAACAAAGGTAAGTACGTGTGGCGTATAATGCTCCTGCCATCGTGCTATGCCTCTCACTGGCCATAATGGAACCATGCCTCTCACCTGCCATCATGCTGCCATGCCAGGCCTCTCACTGGCCATCATGCAGCCATGCTCTCACCGGTCATCATGCAGCCATGCTCTCACCGGCCATCATGCAGCCATGCTCTCACCGGCCATCATGCTGGCGATGGGAGCAGTCATGGAGTAGTTGGCCGTGGCGAGGCGCAGACGGTGATGTGGGAGGATGGAGGGATCGCTGTTGATCGCCTCCACTGCCATCACACTGCCTGCGTGCATGGGCGTGCAGTGTGTGTATTCACATCACATGGACGCATGCATGCACCATGCACGCACCATGCACATGCAGGCATGCATGCATGCATACAGGCACACACGCACGCACACACACACATACATGCATGCACTATGCCCATGCGCATGCACATGCAAGGCATACACACGTGCAGGCACGAGCGCATGGCAGAGGCACATTAAGGAGAATAGCAAACATGATACACAAACAAAGAAACGGTTTTTCTTCCTGCCTCACGAGCAACCCAGTCAACCCACCTTCCCAAATTCTCAGTCAGCCTCGACAACCCACATTCCTGAACTCAGTCTACTCAGTCAAGCCGCCTTCCTGGACCCTCAGCCAACCCAGTCAGACCAGTCAACGCAGTCAACCCACCTGCGAGCATGTGAATGCCTTCAGCGACGTCCGTTGCGACAAGGCATCCAACCGTCACCTCATGCTCTTTCGTCAGCGACTCTTGAGAACTCTCAGCAACCCTCTGGGACCCGACTCCACTGACGGGTTTCGACTTCGATGCATCACCGATATAAGTCGGTTCGTTACTAGACACACTGTTGGACGAACTAGTAGGAGCGGATTGAACAGAAGAATTCCCAGCATACGCGTTAGTACCCGTCCAGCTAATGTCGTCAATGGTTAAAGCACCCAAAGTATTAGGAGCTTCTAAATTCTTGTCAGAAGTTAAAGCCCTCAACCGGGAAGAAATGGATTCGTGCTGCTCGGCATCAGCGACTGCCGGTTCGCTCGTGCGATTCAGGCATCGTATGAATGATGGCGCGTCAGCGTGAAGCCCAATGAGAGGGTTTTCTCGACCTGGCGACGACGCAAGAGGTCTACAGCAAAAGCTCGATGCAACTATTGCGACGACAACGCATCGCGTAAGAATAAACAACCTATGGGAATCCATCCGTATGTACATAACTGGCTTTTATTTCGTGAGGGAAAAAAGAAATCATTCGTTAACGACAGGTGTATCCCATACGCGGTCGTCCATGGCGAGTATCGTTAATGCTAAATCTGTCGTCAATAGCTCGGTTCGCATTGGTACTAGGTCGCATTTCCATCCCTCCTAGGGAAAAAAGTGACGACACTGGAGATTGGTGGCCATGAAGCTAGCCTTGCTTCGCCGCAATCGCGGAACAAAGCTCAGACACTATCGCAACAAAGCTCAGTCCACACTACGAGTGCCAGTGTAAGTGCTACTATTGGCTAGCTGCTGCTGCAATGGCCCTCGATATCCTGGTTTCGCTGCTGAGAGTGGATGGGTTGTCCCTGACCTGACTCTCACTTCGACAGGGTGTGAGTGAGCAGCCTTGGTTTTGCCAGTTCCTGTCGTCAGTCCACAATTTTCGAGCAGCCTTGGTTTTGCCGATTTTCGAGTTTCCTTCAAAATGCGTTGTTCCCGTTACAAGCTTGCCACGTTCTACAAAATGGCCCTGTCTCCGTCATATGCAAGAACAATTGTTGCTTTATTTCATTTTGTTGCTCGGACCAGAACTTCTGGAAACGCTTCTACTCGTACTGCACCGTACGATAACGTTATAAACCGCGCAAAGTGTGCTGGCCACCGACCCTCTCCAAGTCAGAAATTCCACCTGCAACCTACCCACAATGCGGCTGTTGGAATCCGTGAAGGTGTAATATCTCCTAATAGGCGTATTATCTCCTAATAGGAGCCTTATACGCCTCTTCAGCAATGACATGCATAGTGGCAAGGCAAAATCTTTTCTCGCTATCCGCTGTCGGTGGTCTTCATGAGGCACGCTTAGCTTTGATTCCGTCCCTCCATCACTGCTAAACCACGCTTTTCGCTGGGTTACTCAGGTCGTGTTTCTTTAGTGTTACGGCATGGCGCTACCTTATACGCCTCTTCAGCAATGACATGCATAGTGGCAAGGCAAAATCTTTTCTCGCTATCCGCTGTCGGTGGTCTTCATGAGGCACGCTTAGCTTTGATTCCGTCCCTCCATCACTGCTAAACCACGCTTTTCGCTGGGTTACTCAGGTCGTGTTTCTTTAGTGTTACGGCATGGCGCTACCTGGGGTGATGCGCAGGTCGATCCGGCGAATTAAGGACCCGTTACAGTCACAATGGGTCGGCCTAATTGCGTCGCTAAGATCGCACATTGTTGGTCCAACTCTGGGCGATGTTGGCGTCAGCCGCTCGCATCGCGAGCCCGTTCAGTCCGCTATCCTTCACGATTTCCGTCCAAGTTCGTTCCTCTCTGATTCGTCGGAAAGCACTCCGCCGCTTGCATCCGGATCACCGTCCGATTCCGCTCCTCCGGTCAGACGCATCCCTGATCTACGATCGGAATTTATTTCTACGGTTCAAATTCTTCCGGATTCGACAAATCTGACCCAGAAATCGTTCCGAGTACATCCACCCTTTAGGGTCGTCGGTTTCCATCCTTCGGTACAATCTCCTCCCACACAGTACGTGGCCAAACATACGCATTGGAGACAAGAGGACGAAGAGAGAGAATCAGTAAAACACCATGCTTCCACCAATGCACTTACACCTACTAGACCAACGCAATTACCTAGAATAGGCTCGCTTGTCACCCTTGCGCAGTACCACTCTGTTAGAACAGGAGTCTGCACGGTGCAAGGGCTGACCCCTGGCCTTACAAGACTCGCCAGCAGCACCGCGGAAAGCAGCAACATTGATGGCCGCACAGCAGGGAACCAGTGCAGCGACAGCAACGCCAGCAGCAGAAGCAGTACCAATGACAGCACCAGCAGTACCAGCCTCACCGGCAGCAGCGACAGCAGCAACGTCAGCAGCACCAGCACCACCAACAGCAGCAGCAGCGGCGGCGGCGGCAGTGGAGGCGGTAGCGGTGAGACCACATCATGGGTGGAGCGGTATCTGCCGGCCTCAGTGCAGCCGTTCGCGCACCTCGCCCGCCTGGACAAGCCCACCGGCACCTGGCTCCTCGCCTGGCCCTGCTTCTGGTGCGCTCGATTCTATCCAACCTCCCCTCCCCTCCCCTCCCCGCATCCCCTTCCCTGCAGCTCATTTGCATTGGCCGCTCCAGTGGGTTCTCTGCCCGAACCATCGCTTATCTGTTTCTTCCGTTCAGGCGCCATCTTGCTCCGAGGGGCTGGCTGCATTTTTTTTAGGCGCCTCAAAAATCGAGGGGCCAGCTGCACCATCTGATGATGGTGCATGTGATTCCAACAAATTCTACTCCTCTTCTCTCCTGTTTTCTTCCAGGCTACAGCACGTCCTCCCCCTTTCTCCCCATGACAAGTTTTGTCTATACGCCCCTCCCTCCTCCCCTCCCCTCCCCACAGGTCGATCGCCCTTGCCTTGCTGCTCCAGCAGGTTCCCTCGTCGCCCCAGCGCTTCTCTTTCTCTTCGGTTCAGGTGGCTGGCTGCACCACCAACGACCTGCCTGCTGCCCTGCCTGTTTACTGCAAGCAACTTCTACTGCTCTTGCTTCACACTCTCTCCAGCCCATCCTTCCAATCTTCTCTCCCCGCCCCCTCCCCACAGGTCCATCTCACTGGCTGCTCCAGCGGGCTCTCTGCCCGACCCAACCCTTCTCTTTCTCTTCGGGGCAGGTGCCGTCTTGCTCAGAGGCGCCAGGTGCACCATCAACGACCTACTGGACCATCGGGACATTGACGCCAACGAGTTTCACTGCTCTTGCTTCCTGCTTGCTCCCGGCCCATTCCCTTCCCCTTCCCCCCTTCCCCCTCTCCTTTCACAATTTCTGTCTATACACTCCCCCTTTTTCCCCCTTCCCCCACTCCAGGTCCATCGCACTGGCTGCTCCAGCAGGCTCTCTGCCCGACCCAACTCTTCTCTTTCTCTTCGGGTCAGGTGCCGTTTTGCTCAGAGGAGCCGGCTGCACCATCAACGACCTGTTGGATCGGGACTTTGACGCCAAGGTGGCTCGCACGCGCTCCCGCCCTCTGCCCTCCGGTGCTGTTACTCCCTTGGGTGCAACAGCTTTCCTCGGGCTGCAGCTGCTGCTTGGCCTGGGGATTCTCCTGCAGCTGAACACTTACAGGTGAGCCAGAAGCCAAGGTGGCCCGCACGCGCTCCCACTCCCTGCCCCGGTGCTGTCACCCCCTTGGGTGCTACCTCCTTCCTCAAGCTGCAGTTGCTGCTGGGCCTGGAGATTCTCCTGCAGCTGAACACGTTCAGGTGAGTGAAGGGATCGCTGTGTTGTTACTCCAGCCTTCGTTGAATGGTTGAGTCACTGAGGTATTTCTTACGGCCTTCTCTGTGCTGCTGCTGGCTGCACTCTGTTGGATCGGGACTTTGATTTGATGCCAAGGTGGCTCGCACCCGCTCCCACCATTGAGAATTCTCAAAAGTGATTTCAATATAGCTCGCACCCGCTCCCACCCTCTGTCCTCTGGCGTTGTCGCCCCCTTGTTTTCTCTGGTGCTTCAAGAGCACACGCTCTCTCATGTGGCCACTTTTGAGAATTCTCAAGACAAAAGTGATTTCAATATTGTCGCCCCCTTGTTTTCCCTGGTGCTTCAAGGGCACGCTCTCTCATGTGGCCCCCATTGTTCTCTCCCATCGCATGTGCTCCTCGCCGTCCATCCTCATGCAGTCAAGTGCTGGGAGCGGCGTCACTGCCCCTTGTCTTCTCCTACCCCCTTATGAAGCGCTTCACTTACTGGGTAAGGGTTTGCAGATGAGCCTAGCCTCCTTGAGTTTGCTATTTGGGAATCACTTTTGAGAATTCTCAAAAGGTTTGCAGATGAGCCTATCCTCCTTGAGCTTGCTCTAAAGGCTTGGAAACAAACCTTGAGATGGTGAATGGAAACATCACAAAGTCCTAGGGAAACGTGCCATTCTCTCCACCTTTAGCTTTGTTCTTTTCATCCCCTCTCATGCCCTCTCGTCCACTCTCATCTCCTCTCGTGCTCTGTCATCCCCTCCCCTCCTCCCCGTTTTCCTTCCACAACCCAGCCTCAAGCCTACCTCGGTCTTGTCTTCAACTGGGGAGCTCTCCTGGGCTGGGCGGCAGTGCACGGCTCGCTGCACCTGCCAGCTGTGGTGCCGCTGTACATGGGCGGCATCTGTTGGACACTAGTGTACGACACTATCTATGCGCACCAGGTAAGACGGAACAGAGCTCTTTTGGTGGTTGGACGGAGTGTGTATGACAGAATCTATACCCACCCACCTCTGTGCTCCATGTTTCCCACCCATCCACTCCATGCACACATCCTCTGTCCGCGCCAGGACAAGGCAGATGACATCACAGCAGGCGTCAAGTCCACAGCGCTGCTCTTCGCCCATCGCACCCCTCTCTACCTCTCCCTCTTCAGCGCAGCAGCCATCGCCAGCCTTGCTGCTGCCGGCTCTGCCGTCAACATCGGTACTGTTTGACTCTCCTGTCAGCCTCGCTTCATTTCAGTACTCTTTGCCTGACATGAATCGAATTTTGAGCCGACTCAAAATGAACCGTTCCTTGGAATATTCCATTTTTGCGACCCCTTCACATTGGATTCCGAGATGACTCAGAGCGAGATTCTGCTTTCTCTCTGCTGCTATTCGTTGGCGCTTCTACTTTAACCCATGCACTCTCCTTCCCTTCGGGCCTCCCAATTAAGTCCAGCATCTAAGCCTTTTCTTTACCGACTGCCTTGACGGTAATCATGCCTTTTCCTGCTACCTTCCGTCCTCTGCTTCTGCCTTCCATTGGCTCTCCTTTGCAAAGGCTGCCTTTCATTTGCTCTCTTCCATTTCCTGGTTAATATTGCTCCTTACATTGCCACCCCTTACAATCCTCGTTGTTTCGTCACCTTGTGTTGTCGTGTTTCAGGCCCCCCGTTCTATGCCTCGCTAGCAGTGGCAGCAGCACACATGGCATGGCAAATTGCCTCCACGAATTACGACAGCCGGGAGGACTGCTACTCCAAGTGAGTCGTCTCTCTGCTTTTGTGTCAACCGCACCGAAACCGACCAGAAAAAGGTGGCTGATTAGTGGCAGTGGCAGCAGCACACATGGCACGGCAGATTGCCTCCACGAATTACAACAGCTGGGAGGACTGCTACCCCAAGTGAGTTATCTCCACGTTTGAGTCAATCCCACCAAAAAAAAAAAAAGGGTGAGTCTCGTCAGCGACAGCAGAGCGCATGGCAGGGCAGATTGCCTCCACAGATTACAACAGCCGGGAGGACTGCTACTCCAAGTGAGTCAGCTCGGCTCCACCTTTTGAGTCAACCCCGCGGACAGCTTTGCAGGCTCCTCCTTTGTTAGGCTCCTCCCTTGTTAATGGAGCATGCACACACACGGTTGTGACCAAGGTTGCATGCTAGTGGCTGTAATTGGAAAATTGCTTGGCAGCCAACAGCTCCCTCCCTGCCTCTCCTTTCAATGCTCCCTTCTCTCGCCATCATCTATGTTACTCTTCTTCTGTCCCAACCAAAACCCCCCTTCCTCCCAGGTTTGCTTCCAACTGGACTTTCGGTGCTTTGGTCTTTGCAGGGATTGTGACTGGCAAGCTCTTCGGTGTGTAACCCGGGAAGCTGAGTCTGCTGGTAGCTAATGTAGCCGGAAGGTGTCTGGTGTGTAACAGAGCAGTAGGTTGAGGAAGCATGGGTTATTGTCTTTGACATTAGTCATCATCCCTTTAAAAAATGGTTACGTACCTGGCTTTGTGGTTGCTTTTTTCTACTAGTCAAGAGGGCTTTCGTGCCTTCTGCTTAGGGCGTGTTCCTACGCTCTTATCAGGCAAACCTCTTGTCAGCCTTGCCTGGTAAAAGTAGCGAGGGTTATTGGGTTTAGGGAATTTTCAGTGTGTTTTGACGCGAGTTTGATAAGAGGTTGGCCTGATAAGGGGCCGTAGGAACATGCCCTTAACTTAGCGGATGGGAATCTGGGATGGATCGGTCAGGGAGGTCAGAGAAACACAAACTGGGAGGGAGTGCGTGAGGTGAGGGTTGTCATGTCAGCTTTAACAAGTTCGTTATACGTTGGCGCGGTTATGATGTCACTGATGAGTAGTTAAGTTCATTCATCTGCTGAATCTCCCGACAACGCTTGCTTCCAAGCATACCCTCTGCAGGCATTTCTAACGACGTTGCCATGTGAGCGGAGTAATGCTTGATTTTCTGCTTACCGTATGTGTGGCTAACCCAATCTTATCATTTCCAAGATTCTTGTACCCAGCAATTCCCTCCCTAAGGTCTACGTGACACTCTATTATATTCCCAATTTTTGAAGCTATATTTCTTATGCGCAGATTTCTAGCATTCGCTACGCATTACTCATTTTCCAGCTCAATTAGATCCTTACATGTTCCGCAAACTAATTTTCATCCTTTACTAGACCTGTTACTATTTAGCAGGATGTGATTCGAAGGTGTACCTACGTAATCAAACAGTTTTTGAGAAAGTCCCAATGGCGAATATAGTCGTGACCAACCAGTGGCAAGGACCCCCCCTGACACCTGCGATTTGGAGACGATGGTGGCTTGGCTATTCCCAAGGAGGAACTGTTGCGACGCAGTTCCCAAGCGCCATCTCCACCAACATCTCCACCAAGGTGTACGCGGCCTAGGGCACTGTCAGCGCAATCATGTTCAAGGTCCACGGCAGTTGTGATGTGACGCGACGGTATCGTCGCTAGCTGTGACGCGACGACCACGTCGGTACGCCTGTTCGCCATTGATTAGCAATGACAAAGCTCCATTATTCTTAACAATGGCGGCTCGTTAGCTCAGACCATGTCGATACTCGTTCGTGAGAGTGAGAATGTTCGGAACGCTTTCTCAATACTGAAGACTTCCTAACAAAGACAATCCGCAGGCCCATCCGTTTGCAATGACAACCCTGACTCCCCCTTCCCCGTTTTCGGGTAACAATATTCAGGAGCTACTTAGTCCATCCGCCAGTAGGTTATTGAAACGCAGCCGCCCAGCTCGAAAAGAAACAATGACGGGTCATTCAACATTCGCTCATGGAAACTGACGAGGGTTTTCTGAAATAAGTTATCCATGACTGCGTGAAGCACGTCCAGCGGTCTGACCGTCCGTCCGTCGATCTATCTCTAAACTCTTCGTTCCGCTCGCCGGAAGGTGATAGAATATCCTTGACGCAGTCGCTTGACGATCGCAACGCTCAGAACGGTCACAAGGATCAGAACGATAACAAGGGTCGCAACGATCACAACGATCACTGACGGAGCCTGACCCGAGTGTCGAGGAATAGAACGGCACATCTGTCCATCATCAGAGCTCAATCAGCCAGGAACGCATTGGTAGATTGGAGCCGATTACGAACTGGTATCGTGGAACCGTGGCGACGTCGTTCCGCAATCACTGATAGTGCTAACCGTAGATCAGCTAACCACCGACACGTTAGGCTGCGAAATCAGAGCCATGGCGGGGTCGTTCGACGATCCGGATTTAGCGGTGGAGGACTACATTCCCAAGGACAAAGAAGGTGCGTTCAATCTTGGCCGCACGTTCTCATTGCGGACTGTTTCCGTGCATGCCAGCGCCGTCCTTTCCCTTACTTGTCTTGGCTGCTGCTGCTGGAAGACAGGTTTGAGCTAAGATTTCGTGACTTAAAAAAGGATCGTTTCCAACCTCCCCACCCACCCCCTTCCCCCACCCACCCCCCCACCCCCACGCTCCCCCCCTCCCTCCTCCTCTCCCCATGCAGACATGGAGCTGATGCGCGAGCGGTGGTCCAAGCTGCTGCTGGGAGACGATCCCTCAGGAGGGGCCAAGGGCTGCGGCCCTGCGCTTGCCATGGCCAATGCCATCACCAGCACCTCAGGTACGCCGTTACGTCTCAGATGTACTGTCAGGGATTCAGGTAAGCTGTTCGGGTTTCAGGTACGCTGGGTTAGGGTTTCAGGTGCGGTGTTAGAGTTCCAGGTACGCTGCTAGGGTTTCGGATAAGCTTTTAGGGTTTCAGGTATGCTGTTAGGGTTTCGGATAAGCTGTTAATGTTCCAGGTGCGCTCTCTTGTTCTGACGGTTACATCTCCATCATCGATCATCACCTCCTCTTCTCCGTCCCCCCTTCATCCCTCCAACATCCATCTTTGGGAACGGCCTGTAGCTGCGGCCGTTGCCAGAAGAGGACGCGCTATCTTGATCCAGGTGTCACAGCTCCTCAATTATTCTTCCGCCCACTCTCTCCCTTCGCTCGGGAGCTCCCCCCTATCTGTCCAACACCCTTAAACAACTCTCTCTTTTTCCCCACACACCTTCCCCCACCTCCCTTCTCCAGCATCCATCTTTGGGGACGGGCTGCGGTTGCGGCCGCTGCCAGAGGAGGAGGAGCGCAAGTGGCGGAGGGAGATGGGCATCATGGTGTCGGTGTGTCGGCACATTGTGGAGCTAGCACCCGCCTGGACCACTCGCCCCGATGGCAGCAGATTCGAGGTATGGGGGTGGGAAAGGGTGGAAGGGGCGATTGGGTGAAGGGAATGGGAGGGAGATGGGCATCATGGTGTCAGTGTGCCGCCACATTGTGGAGCCGGCGCCCGCCTGGAGTACTCGCCCTGACGGGAGCACATTCGAGGTCGGGCAGGGATCAGGCTCAGGGGCAGAGAGGTCAGGGTCAGGTTCAGGGTCAGGGTGAAGAGAAGGAGCAGGCGCAGGTTGAGGAGCAGGGGTTAGGGCAGGCAAAGTCAGGGCAGCGGCAGGGGCAGTGTCAGGCAGAGAGAGGGTGGGGAAGAGAGAGGGTAGCAGGGGCGTTGAAGGAAGGGAAGGGGAGGGAGATGGGCATCATGGTGTCGGTGTGTCGGCACATTGTGGAGCTGGCACCTGCTTGGACCACTCGCCCTGACGGCAGCAGATTTGAGGTACGAGGGGTGGGGGGTGTGTGGCGGGGCAGGAGCAGGGGCAGGGGCAGGGGCAGGGGCAGGGGCAGGGGCAGGGGCAGGGGCAGGTTGGAAGTGAGGGATAGGGGGGAAACGGGTAGTGAGGCGCCGGGGAAGGAGCTGCAGTAGTCGTTTTCTTGTTGGTGCTTTTCAATCGGTGCCGTGTTGTGCCGTGCCGTACTGTTGGGTGTTGTGTTGTGCTGGCAGGTGATGCGTCGGAGTGTCCGAGCTGACCTTCGGATTCAGCTGCCGGCACTCAGCCAGCTCGATACCATGCTGCTGGTAATGCCCCGCCTTCTGGTTGTCTTCTCTCTCCCTTTTCCCCCCGCATGCACAAGTTCTGGCTCATCCTCAATCCACGTGCTCCTGCAGCATAGCCAATCGGACGAGTAATGCTATATGTGTGCTTGTGCTTTCTTACTACTCCCTCCTGCAACACCACACGCCCTGGCCCCCCCCCCCCCTCCTCTCCCCTCCCCCCCGCGCCCCCTGTTCTCCACCTCCTCCCCGCACCTCTTTTCCCTCACCTCACTCCTCACTTCCCCTCGAGCAGACCATCCTGCAGCACAGCCAATCAGATGAGTACTACTACGAGGACGAGCTGCCAGGTGGCGACCTAACACAGGAGGACGGCGAGGAGGACGAGGAGGGGGACGACGAAGAGGAGGTGGAGGAGACATTGCGTGGCGATGATGATGACGAGGATGATAGGGAGAGCTTCGGAGCCGGCAGCACGGGCGGCAGCAGCAGTGGCATGGGCGGCATGGGCGGCATGGGGGGCATGGGCGGCATGGGAGGGTCGGCAGGGGATTTGTACGGCGCACCGGATCGACTAATCAGGCGCAGCGCCACGGCCCCTTCGGAGCGGCCTGCCACTCATGCCGGGCCGTATGGGATGGGAGGGATGAGCGGGCGGTTGGGAGGAGCGGGTGGGGATGGTGGGGAGAGGGGAGGTGGGGGGCGACGGGGAGTGAGCCACGGATCTGCACATAGTTCGACGCACGGGTCGGGGCAAGGTTCGTCGGTGCACGGGTCGTCCACGCGAGGGTCTTCAGCAGACGAGGAGGAGGATTTTGGTGATGATGAGGGGCAGTACAGCCAAGGAGGGGAGTTTGAACACAGACGCACGTTGCACACAGCGAACACAAGAGACTCAGGAGATGCGGGAGAGAGGGGCTCAGGAGACGGAGGGGACAGGGGCTCAGGGCACTACAGACGGCTCTCCTCCCCTGGGTTGGAGGCAGAGAGGCGTGGTAGTGAAGAGGACCTGATACAGCAGCGGGGCGGAGGAGGGGGAGGAGGGGAGGGTGAGGATGCGTCAGTGGGAGTAACACGGGGAGCAACGCAGGGAGTAATGCGGGCAGCAAGGAGGGGTCGAGTCCGAACCCCGGGTCATCATCCTGGGGTTTTCATCAGCGGTCCAGCAGCACAGCTGCTCCTGCCTCTTCCTCAGGTGTTCCGTCAGGTGCTTCTCCAGGGTCGGGGGGCAAGCGGCGGGTGTCGTCGCGCTCCTCCAGCTTCAGCTACGACTTTTCGGCGCTTCTAGGGGGTGGAAGGAGCCGCGGCGGCGGATCTGTTGCTGCTGCTGGCGCAGCAGGGGCAGCGCCGGGGGCAGGGTCAGGGGCAGGGGGGGGCATTCCTCCTGGCGGCGGTGGCATCATGCGGGGATTAAAACGAAGCGTGACTGATGTGAGGGACAAGAGGTTCATCCCAGAGGGCATGGGCGGCGGAGCCATGGGGGGAATGGGAGGAGGAATGGGGGGAATGGGAGGAGCAGGAGGGGGAGGAGGAGAGGGGGCGGGAGGGGGCCGGCAGGTGTGGCGTTGGAAGATGAAGCCGCGGGTGCGGGGCCCGCTGGGGGAGGCGCTGGTGAGGTGGCTGGAGCAGCAGATGGAGAAGACGAGTCAGATCATGAAGCTCGCCATGACCATCAACCAGCAGGTCCTCCAAGACATGCAAGTCCCCGACGCCTTCGTGCAGCGCCTCCCCAAGGTAATGCCTGCCCAAGGTAATGCCACCCCAAGGTAATGCCGGCCCAAGGTAAGGCCTCCCCAAGGAAACGCTTCACCAAGGTAACGCCTCCCCAAGATAGGGCCTACAAGGCGGAACACAATGGTGGTGGTGAGTGGGCGACCAGGTATATGCAGCTCTGCACATCAACCCCTTCACACATGACAAGCTGCTCTTCTCCCTGATCCACACCACACCCTTCCTTCCACAACTTCACGCCCCTCCACCATCTCGACCCGCCCACCTCTCCGCCCCTCCTCCCATTCCCTCACCACTTTCAGCAGAACGTGAGGGCGGTGGTGGGCAACAGGGTGTATGCAGCCCTTTACGCCAACCCCTTCACAGACGACAAGCTGTTCTTTATGGTGGACCTGTTCAATCAGAAGGCGGCTTTCAAACCGTTCCCTTGCTCTCCACCTGTTGCCTTGCCACCCTCCCCTCTCCTCCCATTTGTATGCAGCCCTGCACGCCAACCCCTTCACAGACGACAAGCTGCTCCCCGTCTCACCCTTGCAGCTTGCCTTCCACCCCTCGCTTTCCGCCCATTCCCTGCACCTGACCAGAACGTGAGGGCGGTGGTGGGCGACAGGGTGTATGCAGCCCTGCACGCCAACCCCTTCACAGACGACAAGCTGCTCCCCGTCTCACCCTTGCAGCTTGCCTTCCACCCCTCGCTTTCCGCCCATTCCCTGCACCTGACCAGAACGTGAGGGCGGTGGTGGGCGACAGGGTGTATGCAGCCCTGCACGCCAACCCCTTCACAGACGACAAGCTGCTGTCCACCGTGGACCTGTCCAATCAGAAGGCGGCTCTCAAGCTCGCCTGCAAGCTCGAGGCTGCCGAGCAGATCTGGATGCGCCAGCTCGCACTTGCAAGGTACCGGTGCTGCGCGGTACGGTGCAATTCGGTTCTGTGCGGTTCGTAGAGGTGCAATTCTTTGCGAGCTTGACAAAGTAGCTCTCGCCCTTTTTGTGGTGACACTGTTGGTGGGTTCGACATGCGCGTACCGCTTTGCACTTCTCCTCACATAATCAGTCCCATGCTCACTCACACTCACTCTGTTTTGGTTCCTCTTTGCCCTGTGTTCACCACTCTTGCAATGCTTTGACTGGCGTTGACTTGGCATGACCAGGGAGCCCCAGCTGAGCCACACGCTGGGCGGCAGTTATTTGTCCACTAGCAGCCGGGACGTGGTGCGATTGGAGGAGAGCCTTCAGCGCGTCTCCTCGTGCCTTGCTGCCATCCGCCGCAGGTGGCCCGACCTGCCCCAAACCACTCTGGATCTAGCCAAAATCGCATTCAATGGGGTAAGCAACGCTACTTCAGAGATTTCAGAGGGGAAGAAAAGAGAATCTGCAGCACGTCTCCTCGTGCCTCGCTGCCATCTGCTACAGATGGCCCGACCTGCCCCAGACCACACTGGACCTGGCCAAGATTGCACTCAATGGGGTACGTGCTCTCAGCTCTCCAGATAAGAGATGAGAGGGCTTTTGAGACGTCTCAAAAACCACACTGGACCTGGCCAAGATCGCATTCAATGGGGTACATTACGTTCTTGCAGCTCTTCAGATGAGGTTGCTTCAGAATACGATGAGAGGCCTCGTAAGTGCTGCCTGCCATAAAGGGGCCGCCCCGTTGAAAAAGACAACACCACACTCGGCCCCCACTCCCCTCTGCCACACTCAGCCCACACTCCACTCCGCCATGGTGACCAAATGAAGAATGCATTTCCAACCCAACCCTCCGCAAACCATCATGCCCATGCATTCACTCATCTCCAACCCACTTATTTAATCTCTCTTTCCCATGCTCCCAGGACATCGGCAAGGCTGTATTGGAGAGCTACTCACGAGTGCTGGAGGGAGCAGCGTCCAACATCCGCTCGCGCATCCGGGACGTGCTGCATGCCAACTACCTCTTCCTCAACCCGCAGCAGTTCGTCCACCTGCCCTGCGACCCGCACCCTCAAGGCCTGCGCCACCCCACCTTCAGCGTGCTCATGCCCGAAACCGTGTTCGACGCCGTCTCCATGTCTAGTGACAACAGTGAGTCCACTAACGGCAGCGTCCGTTCCTTCGACTCTAGTCGCAGCGGCGGGAGCGCGCGGTCAGGGAAAGGCGCGCGGGGCGGAGGGGGCGGGGGAGCGGGAGGAGGAGGGGATGGAGTTGGCGGGCTGGGTGCAGCAGTGGGAGTGGGCATGGCGCCAGCAGGGCCGGGGTATCCGGGGTCCGGGGTGCTGGGGAAGGCGTCGGCCAAGTGGGACATGCGCCCCCCTCGCAGCCCTGAGCTGCGCAGCCCGCTGATTTCAGGCGCCATGGGCCGGCTTTCTGTCGGTGGCGGCGTGGTGTCCGGTGGTGGGGGTGGCGGTGGTGGGAGCAGTGGAGGCGGGAGATACATGCGGAGTCCTCTCCATAGCCGGATCACTTCAGGTGCTGGCTCAGGTGCTGGCTCAGGTGTTGGTGTCGGTGGTGCCGGTGGTGGTGGAATGGGTGGAGGAGCAGGTGGGGGTGGAGGCGGGATGGTGTATCCCGCTTCTGGGTCAGGGGGAGGTGGGTCTGGGGGAAGCTCACCCTCCGCCAGTCCCAGCCGAGCCATGCCAGGGGACAGGTTTCTCAGGCGCACAGGGTCACTGCAGCCTAGGGGAAATCGGGGAAACCGGGTGTTGGGGAGGAGTCAGAGCGGAGGGATGGCTGATGAGGTGATGTGTGGGATGGGAATGGGTGGTGGTGGTGGTAATGGTGGTAATGGCGGTGGTGCTGCTGGTAATGGTGGCGGTGGTGTTGGTGTGGGAGGAGGGCGTGGATTGGTGTCTCCTGGTTTCCAGGTTTCGCCTTCGCGTGGGCCGGTGCAGTTTTCGCCGGGTGCAGGGTTGCCGCCCCAGCCTCCTACAAGGACTCGATCAGCGAGTGCTGATTGGAGCTGAGAGCTGCTCTTTATTTAAGAGGTCGTCCTGGAGAAACATACATATCACTATGACCTGAGAAGCAATTCTGAGAACTAGTCTGCAGGAAGGGGGGGGGTGTCTAATCAATATCGCTCCATTCTTGTTGAAATGATATGGGTTCTTTATTTCTATATTACCTGCTGGGACCACAAGCAGTGGTCCACATTGAGCGTGCTGTTATTTCGCGGCGCTATCACAACTAATAGTTACTGAGTAATTGCTTCGCGACAAGGACATCTCATTTCGCAAAACTCGAGGTTCATGGAAGTGGAAGTCACATCAAGCCACGTGGAACCAGAACAGAAAGCCTATCCACCTAGGTGTCTCCATTTGCCCAGTCTCTATCTCCGTTCATTCAATCGTGCCATTCCTGTTTGTGCTTACTCCTCTAATCTGGCCTAAGCAACTGGTCGACCGTCATTATGTCTCTATCGGCCAGCACCCGAGCGGCGGCTGCCACCCAAGCGTGCGCTCCGCTTCAGCCGTGTGCAGCGGAGCGAGCGGACACATCCGCGGTTCGCTGCTTGGGAGGCTCCTGGAGCGTCGTATTTCCCAGACAAACCGCACGAGTAGGCTCGAGTCGCAGAGCGTTCCGAGTGCGAGCTAGCCAAGAACCAGATAGATTGTCAGCATCCTCGGGTTCAGAATGTTCTACGAGTGGATCGCAGGATAATAACGGAGCCTCCTCTAAGGGAGCACTTTCTCGCAGAGCTTCCCTTCTTCTCGCCGCATCTGCCGGCGCGCTGCTCGCGGATTGGTCCGTTCTCCCCGCGGCGCAAGCGCTACCGTTCTTGCTCCCGCCTGCCGGTTTCCGTCTGTACGTGGATCGACTCGACGGCTACTCGTTCTTCTACCCCGACTCGTGGGTAGAGGTGAGCCCGGGAGAAGGAATAAAATTAGAGTCGCTTTTGAGAATTCTGAAAAAGGCGACTTTTGAGTCGACCAAAGCCGTGGTCGCATTAACGGCTGCTCGTTATTCGCGACACTCATTGGATCAGCGTTTGATAATTCCCTCAAAACACTCACTAGTACACGTCATCGACCTGCTGAGCTGGTAGACTGGCTAGTTTGTGCTGTCAGCATGGTGAGATGAGCGACTCACTAGGTCGCGCGACTTGACGCCTCAAACGGCACGTACAGCGACCTGGTCAGGGTCTTAAGCTTTAGAGACGTCCCAAAAGTTTCCCAACGATGACAACAGCTTTACGATACTCACTAGTAGGTCGCGTGATCAAAGGCTGGTTTTGAAAATGCACTCACGCTCTTAAAGCGTGGGTTTCGGCTCTTTTCCGCTCGCTTCAGATCGCGTGTGATCAGCCTGATCGGCTTTTAAATCGGCGTGTTTTCGTCATTGGCTCGCTCGTCCATTTGATGCTTCAGAGCTGCTGTGCTCGCTCCTGAGTCATCTGAGATCCGCTCTCGTGTGATTCTGAGCTTCCAAGTTTATGCATCTCCCGGCCCCTCCTCACCCAACCTCCGCTGCTGTTTCTCCGCCATTCTCGCCGCCATTCCCGCCGCCGTTCCCGCCGTCAGGTGCGGGGATCGGGGCAGGACTGTTTCTTCCGCAGCTCGTTCAACCTCGACGAGAACGTGAGCGTCGAGGTGTCGTCGCCCTCGTCGTCGCGTTTCGCGGTACGTAAGCTGTGTGCTGTTTGCTGTGCTGTAAAACTCTGTTTTAAGTTCGGTATGGAAGTTCAAATTCACGTATTAGCTTATGTAAGTGCCGGTTCAAAGGTATCCAGCTTTCAGGAAGGCGAAAAGTATAGCTGGTGTATCTACACGAGCCCACTGATATCGTGGCACGCATGGTACGCCCTCAACAACCACTGGGGCTCATTTCCACGCACCTTCCTTCATGCTCCCTGTTATCCCCCTGTACAGTCCGTGCGTGACCTGGGAGCCCCCCAGGCAGCAGGAGAGCGAGTAGAGAAGCATCTTCTAACGGAGCTAATGTCCAAACACCGTTCTGTAACCCTACGTACTCCCCCATACCCCCGTGAACCCCCATCTACTTCCCTGAATTCCCCGTACAGTCCTTGTGTGACCTGGGGAATCTCCAGGCAACAGGGCAGTGAGAAGAGAAGCAGCTTCTAACGGAGTTGCATCCTCCCGTACCCCTCTGCACTCCCCCATTCTCCCTGTCCATCCACTGTACAGTCCGTGCGCGACCTGGGAGATCCCCAGGCGGCAGGGCAGCGAGTAGAGAAGCAGCTTCTAACGGAGTTCATGTCCACGCGGCTGGGCGTGCGGCGCGAGGCCTCCCTCATCTCCTCCACCAATCGCATCGTGCCAGCTGGCACCGGGAGGAGAGGCGCCGGGGAGCAGGAGGAGGACGCGGAGTATTATGACGTGGAGGTGAGGGGGATGCGGGGGGGCTGAGGGGTTGCGGAGGACGCTTGTGGTTGGGGAAGTTTGGGGAAAAGTGGAGATAGTTGGGGCGAGTGTTGTTGAGGAGGACGCGGAGTACTATGACGTGGAGGTGAGAGGGGGGGGAGAGGGGGTGAGAGGGGAGGTGAGGGGGGAGGGAGTGTGGGGGGGGGGGGGGGGGGGGGGGGGGGGGGGGGGGGGGGGAGTGAGAGAGAAGATGGAGACGATGGGGGTTGAGGACTCGGAGTACTATGACGTGGAGTTGAGTGGGGGAGGAGAGGGGGACTGAGTGGGGGCGGAGGCGAGGGGGGCGGTAAAGAGGGGAGAGTGCAGGTGGCAGGGTGCGGAGTGCGGTGGGAATGAAGGGCTGGAAGGGGTTGGGGAGGGGTGGGGTGGGGGAAAGATAGAGGAGAGGGCAGTTGGTTGGGAAGAGACTGGTGAATGGATGTAGGGTTGCTGAGAATGGGAGTTGGCATGAGGGTTGGGGTGCAGTGGAAGGGAAGGGAAAAAGGGATTTTCTGATTCGCTAAAGAGCTTTTACTTGATGGCTGGAGCATCATTCTCCGCCCTTCTGAAACCAACGTCTTCCCACACACCTGGTGCTGCTCCCGATGTGCTGCTGCCCATGCCCACATGCCGTTTGTCGTCCGAATTCGATGGCATGGTCTTGCCTTACCTCATCCACCCGTTTGCCGCTCCTTCTCGCCCTTGCTCCCGTTTCTCCCTTGATCTTGGCACCGAATTTCATGCCCTTTCCAATTCCAAACAGCACATCTCAACCTCTTTGCCGGCTCCTCTCCACTCCTCTCCACTCCTCTCCAACCCTGCTTGCTTTCCTCGTCGTTCCTCGCTCATCTCACCCACAGTTGAACGTGAAGTCGTATGCCAACAACAACCAGCTGGCGATAATGCTGGACGAGCGAGTGGTGAATCCCAAACAGCGCATCACGCCCTCTTTTCCCACCCTTTCCCTCCCTGCTTGCCCTGCTCCCCATCTCTCTCTCTCTCTCTCTCTCTCTCTCTCTCTCTCTCTCTCTCTCTCTCTCTCTCTCTCTCTCTCTCTCTCTCTATCTCTCTCTCTCTCTCTCTCTCTCTCTCTCTATCTCTCTCTCTCTCTCTCTCTCTCTCTCTCTCTCTCTCTCACACACACACACACACACACACACACACACACACACACACACACACACACACACACACACACACACACACACACACACACACACACAGCTGAACGTGAAGTCGTATGACAACAACAACCAGATGGCCATCATGCCGGACGAGCGAGTGGTGAATCCCAAAGAGCGCATCACACCCTCTTTTCCCACCCTTTCCCTGGCAGCTGAATGTGAAGTCATTTGCCAACAACAACCAGATGGCCATAATGCCGGACGAGCGAGTGCAGGTGCTCGAGTGGAACCGCCGCTACCTCATAGTGCTTGCAGTGGCCAACAGACGGCTGTACCAGCTGCGCCTGCAGGTGCCTGAGAGGGTTCTGGATGCTGAGAGGCCTGTGCTGCGGCAAGTCATGGACTCTTTCCGCGTGTTCAGCGTTGCCGAGTAGATTTGTTATTATTTTTGGAGTCGAAAATTGTCAAGAAGAATATACCTCCATACTGCTGCGCCAGATCCTTGTTCGTGCTTCAGCATATTTTTGCCCCAGGGCTTTGTGACATTAGTAGTAGCCCCTATTTAGCTCCAAATATATTACATTTTGACCTATCACGCCAAACACCTGGGCTGTATGCTGGAAGAAACCTACTCGTACATGCAGACGTGTTTCGAAAATGACCCTGTGTAGGGTCACGCTTACGACATTGCTTTTGCGAATTGGCCTTGCATCACGCCGTGACTGCAGGAGACGAAATTATGCAATCCCATCTCGATATCAGAGGGTGTTCCACCTTCCGCACATTCAATAGTCCGCATTCCGCGAGCAGTCCATCGGTCTGCGCACTTGAGGTCATTTCACAATGGCTTAATAAAATGAAAATGAGATTTCGTACAGAACCCAATTCCAGTCTAGCTATCAGTGGTTCTCATTAGCAAGGGGCTGAGTTTTATGGAGCACAATATGACATTCATTTCCGCCAGTGGTAACAACCGCCACACGAAGTTTTTTGGCAGACGTTTGAAGATGCATCGCGCAATTCAACAGACTGAGTTTTTTCGGGTAGCCCTAAAAAAGGTGGAACCATCTGAATCCCCTTCCTTCGACACACCCCGTGCCGACCGTAGGAACAATCGTGTGATAAAATATCTCCTGCGTGAACCTCTCCTCTGTTCGACAGAAATCTGCGCCGCGAGTATTCGCGAGAGCGCCTGACTTGGGCTGATTGAGTTCGCGCATTCGCCGGGCTTGGCAAGGTCCCACATGGCGAAAATCGCATGCCCGCGTAACTTGCGCACTGCGCAACTATCGCATTTGATTCCCATGTGAAATATGTTTCCCGCCAAAATGTTTACTTACGAGAACCTCTCCCCTTTCCGCTATCAAGGAGGAATTGCCTTGCAGGAGCTTTCTCTCTCACGCCTATATATTACACGCTTGTCATCCCATTCTCATCATCAGTCATTTACGTTCTTCCCAAATTCCCAAGCCAGCCACTTTCCCGTCCTGCTGGTTCACCGGTTATTCTCCTCCCACGCCAACCTCTTTTTGCGAGTCGACGGGATCAACTCCTTTGCCGCTTATGGCTCGGACGAAGCAAGGCGTTGCCACCACGGCGGCGTTGCCGGTGCTTCTGTTTGTGCTGCTTATGACGTCAGCATCGCATGTCGCGGCTGGTAAGCTCCTCAACTACTCGTAATGGTGCATTTCGTTCAGATTTGGTAATATGTAAGCGAATTATACAACACCATGTCGACAAATGATTATTGTGCTGCATTCGGTTACGTAGAACCTACAGAAGTCCACTCGGCCTAATTTCTTCCGTTGTTCTGTGCGCAGCGGCATCCAAGGCATTCGTCTCCTCGCGGCGCATTCTGGGAACTGTGAACAACCTCGAGAAATCCGCCGTGACCACCCCGACCGCCGTGAAATTGGCGAAAACCGTGTCCACCTCGACCCCGACCGCCGTGAAGTTGTCTGCATCCACCACGACCTTGATGTTATCCCCGACCAAGACAACCACCACAACGTTATCCCCGACCCCGACCGCCGTGAAGTTGTCTGCATCCACCACGACCTTGATGTTATCCCCGACCAAGACAACCACCACAACGTTATCCCCGACCCCGACCGCCGTGAAATTGTCTGCATCCACCACGACCTTGATGTTATCCCCGACCAAGACAACCACCACAACGTTATCCCCGACCCCGACCGCCGTGAAATTGTCTGCATCCACCACGACCTTAATGGCCTCCTCGACCCAGAAAACCACCACCACGACGCCCGTGAAAATGGCAGCGCTCCTTGACACGACCAAGACAACCACCACCACTCCCGTGAAAATGACGCGGTCGACCGTGCTGGGAATGGCCGACACAAGCAAGACAACCACCACCACGCCGGTGAAAATGTCAGCCGTGACCTCATTGGCAGACACGACCAAGGCAACCACCGCTACTCCCGTGAAAATGTCGGCCGTGACCTCATTGGCAGACACGACCAAGGCAACCACCACCACTCCCGTGAAAATGTCGGCCGTGACCTCATTGGCAGACACGACCAAGGCAACCACCGCCACGCCCGTGAAAATGTCTGCCGTGACCTCATTGGCAGACACGACCAAGGCAACCACCACCACTCCCGTGAAAATGTCGGCCGTGACCTCATTGGCAGATACGACCAAGGCAACCACCACCACTCCCGTGAAAATGTCGGCCTTGCTTAGCGTGAAAGAGGCACATCCATGAGCTCGTGGCAGAGACCGTGCAGGCACTAAAGCAAGGACAGTTACGGTATTCCCTCCACTGTCTAGGGCAGTTTTCCCCCTTTCCTGAGCCCCCAGCATGTAAGTAGAGCGGATATGTAGAGGAGTATGTGCTGGGGGGGTGTATTGTGGTCTGTATTGTAACATACGGGGTGAAGCTTGTATGTGCTTGCTAGGCTGTCTTGTAATGCATGCTTTTCTTTGGCCAACTCAATGCCAGCTACAGTATTTTATTTCACGTGGGCCACCTTAACATGTTCACGACCGTACCGTATATTCCTTGTGTTAAGCACCCTGGAGTAGGGTGGTTGTAGGAGCTGGGCAACCACAAACAACTCTGTTTCTGAGGCGCCTCAACCACAATAGCAGGGGAGATACTAGGTAGGATGGTGATACGAGCTGGCTGAGCCCCCCAGCCACAAACAACTCTTGTTACCTGAACACCGTATCACCTGAACCACAATGGCAGGGGAGATACGGTGCTTGTACAAGTTGTGAGTGATTTTTGAATATTTCAACCACAACACCAAGCTCTGCATGCGTGGTGTCAGTCAGACAGTCAGTTTGCTAGAGGCAAGTGCTTTTGGACCTGCAAGGATAGGACAGGACACAATCATCACAAGGAAGAGAAAAGGGAGGAAATGCTTCAGCCATAGAACCACTTTTGAGGCTGCTGAGAAAGAGATAAGAGATAAGGTGAGGTGCAACTTGAGGGAGAAAAGCAGGCAGGAAGGGCGAGAGGGGCGAGAGAAGAGGAAGAGTAGGAGCGAGAAACGGAGCCGGGGCGAGAGGGGTTAAGAGGGGTTGAGAGGATTGCCTGTTGAAGGAACTTGGCAAAGGCAGGATGAGACCGCGCTGCTTCTAGTGCCTGTGGGGTAGCATGGCGAGGGGATGAGAGGGGTTGAGAAAGCATGATTGGGGGGGGGAGGGGGGGGGGGGGGGGGTGAGGTATTGGAGCGTTGAGAATTTTGAGGGGCATGGGATGAGAGAAGGCAATGCAAACAGCTGAGTATCTACACAGGTGAAATTCGGGCAATTGAACAAGGGAGAAATGAAAAGTTGCGACGAGGAAAGACGGGAAAATGGAGCTGGAAAAAGGAGGAGGAAGGTGGACGCGGGGAGCTGTCGACGAGGAGAAGCATACGCTTATCTTATTGATACTTCTCAGAATAATTCTTGAGGCGTAAATAGAGCGCAAGCGGCAATGGGAAGGGGCGAGCACTGACTCCTTCTGGGTGCGGGGAGCTGTCGATGAGAAGAAGCATGCTCTTTTGGGACTTCTGGACACATGTTTTTGAAATGTATAAATAACAGAAGGGGCGATGAGAAGGGGCGAGCACTGACTGCTTCTGGGTGCGGGGAGCTGTCGATGAGGAGAAGCATGCGCTGCAATCTACGGTTCCTTTTATGGTCCCTTTTGCAAGGAGGGTAAGTGGGTGCCAGTACTGACTGCTTCTGGATGCGGGGAGCTGTCGATGAGGAGAAGCATGCGCTGCAACTCGTGGTCCCTTAACTGCTGCCTCAATGCTGCATCGTCCGCTGTGTGTAGGTGGGGCAGGGGAGGAAGGGAATAGGCGAGTAAGGAAGGCGAGGAGCAGCACGCGTTGCAACTCGTGGTCCCTTAACTGCTGCCTCAACGCTGCATCGTCCGTCCGCTGTGTGTGGGTGGGGCAGGGGAAGAAGAGCGTAGGCCGGCGAGCCAAGTGAGGAGCAGCATGCGCTGCAACTCATGATCTCTCGGATGCTGCCTCAGCGGTGCATTATCCGCTGTGAAAAGACGGGAAGAGTGAGACGGAAGCGGGGAATGGAGACACAAAGAGGTAACTGAGTGCCGGATTCTTACCGATTTCTCTGAGTGTGCTGCAGGGGAGACGCCAGGAAAGCTCGTCCTCATCCTCACACTCCTCAAACGGCCGCACAGGCTGCTTGCCCCTGCTGCTGTCGGGGCCGGCGCTGCCTTGGGCGTCTGCTGTTGCGGCGGCTGTAGCTCCTCCTGCCTCTGCTGCTGACGTGGCAGGCTGCTCTCTTGGTTGGCACGGCGTTTCTGCAGGGCGAACGATGTCAGAGGGGGAGGGGAGTGACTCCGGTAAAGAGTGGTTCTATGTGGTGCACGGGTGTCGCAGAGGAGTGAGAAGGTATAGGATGGTTGGGGACGGGTGAGGAAACAGTGAGAGAGTGAGCGAATGGGTGTGAAGAGAGAAGGACGGAGGGCGTGGTAAGAGGAACCCCATGGCCCTGCAGTGAGGGAACGAGAACCTACGTGGGGGGCGGTGATGGGAGAAAGTGAGTGGGTTGTGTGCGTGTGCGTGTGTGCGCGCGAGTGTGAGTGCGTGTGTGCGTGGGTGTGCGTGTGTGTGTTTGTGTGCGTGCCCGCACGTTAGTGTGAGGTTTGGCGTGTATGAGAGCACGGAAGGGAGAGCATATATCTGGCGCATGAATATCCCAATATTGGACACCTAAGAACTATTGGACATTAAAGAACCTTAACAAGCAGCACATACAAATTCCTTAACCCAAATCACGATATCCTTGACCCATATCACAAAATTCTTAAACCCGACACCGAACCCTGAACCTGAACCCGTAACCCTGAACCCTGCGTCCCGTCTTACTCGGCCCTGGATCTTCTATACGCGTTACAGTAACTTCGGACTCACCTTTATGCGTTCGGCAGCAGGCGACGGAGCAGCTTGAGAGGCGCCGCAGGGAGGGGCGAGGCGAAGGAGCATGGCAGATGACAGAGGGAAGGAACAGGGGGAGTTGGGGAGAAATGAGGGGAGGAACAGGGGGAGTTGGGGAGAAATGAGGGGAGGAACAGGGGGAGTTGGGGAGAAATGAGGGGAGGAACAGGGGGAGTTGGGGAGAAATGAGGGGAGCAACCGGGGAAGGAGAGGAGGAGGAAAGGAAGTCACAATCACATGTGTTACACTCCGCAGGGTTCCGATGAGTAAGGAGTGTTTACATTCAAGGGTTGTGAGCCCAGCAGACGTACTAGGGAGAGAGGCACGTGGGGCATTTGTATTTTGCGGCTTGCGACTGGCACACGACGCATGGCTGCTGTCCACCTTTCGCCATGCTCCACTGCGACAAGCGAACAACAAGCGTGCGACGGCTCGGTGCTTCTTTCCTAGATTTCACGAAAGAACGCGAAGAGGGCACTGAGACAGTTTGTGATGTGATACCTAATCGTCCACTAGCTCTGACTGAGAAGGTCTGCAACTGCTCGATTCCGCCAGAATGCGATTTTCGCTCGCCAAGATTCTGATCGGCTGCTGTTGGGGTCAGCGATCGGAGGACTCCGTGGGATCCAGATCCGGTTTCGCTAGTAGGCGGTTTGGCGGTCTGGCGACGTTCGGCGGCACTTCCTGGTTGTAGATAGGGAAATAGGCGTGTGAGACGGGCCTTGTTTCAAAAGGGAGTTCAAGCAGTGGTGGAAATAGGTCGAACCCAGTGTGATTTGCACTTCGGGTCACCTGGGTCAGTTCGCGATTTCAAGGAAAACGAGGCGAAGCTCGTCCAGTAAACAACGACTGTGACCCCAAGTGTAACAATTTCGATATTCGCACAAACAACTTTTCATTTTCTCTCTGTCCAATAACAGCGCCCAGCCAACCAATCCCAAGGCAGCCACCCCCAATCAACCAGCCAGTCATCGCGCAGCTCTCCTCCGCGCCAAATCTGATGACCATTGGCTGCCTTCCACGCTGCCCTCCTCACCTTTGGATGGTCAAACGACCGTGAGGTATTTTTTCCGCTCTGTACCACTTTGAAACCATACGGCACCGTACTGTAGAGCTTCTCCTAGCGATTTGTGGTGTTCCCAAGATGCTGTGGGCTCGCCTTGCCCCAACGTAGATTCGCCATCCATAGCACTCCACATCATTTCGCCTTCATATCACGGTTTCAATCGTTTTGTTCTGGTCCAAATGGGTACGGAACCGTAATTGACGATGAGTGGAGGGGAGAGACAGGGGAAGAGATGATTCTCGTTGCTCGAAGTAGATGACCCACCCTCATACATCCTGCCTGTTATCCAGATGTTCCAATATTCCGCCATGAGTGCGGCAACATGAGCGTTTTGTGGATGACTCCCAACGGCGCGTTTTGTGCTAACCACGCCTCACGCTTATTGTACCCTTCGTTCGCGTTGTCTCTAATCGCGCACTACTGTTTTGGTATTGATCGACCGCGACCAGCGTTCGCGAAAATATTCAGTATGAACATTTTCAGGGTACGGCGAGGATGTGCTCTTTCAGGATTCAGGCACGCGATTCCTTCTACGGTTAAGATTCGCGCTTAGCAACTCGTGATCAGCGACGTCCGTTTCGGCCACCTCACGCATGGTCACACCCGTCGTGAAATTTCCTTCACAGCGTTTCGCAGTTTGACTGCTATTCCAAAATCCAGATATCATGGATTTCGGTTTCGGCCTCTTCCAAACCAAACGGCAAAGCCCCGACCCGCCGAAATCCGCATCAGGCGCATCAGGAGCACCATCAGCTACAAGCCCCCGCGCATTCACAGCCCCAGGCTCGGATTCTTCCTCCTCGTCTCTCCTCTCCTTCGGTCCGTACCTACCACTAGCAACCGCCAGCGACGCTACTAGCAGCAAGCCTCTGTGCGCATCAGGCGCCGCGATTCCCGCTGGGTCTATTTCCTCCACCTCCTCCTCTTCCCACGGTCAGGTCACTGCCAGCGCGAAACGCGGCGGGACTTCCGGCGCAACTCGTGCTGGTTTGCCTGCCGGGGGTAGGGATTCAGGGGGAGGTGGATATGGGGGCGGTGGTTATGGGGGAGGAACCGGGAAAGGTTTTGCCTTTTCCAGAGTGAGTGGTGATAGGATGGATGGAAGAGGAGCGGTGAGGACTGTTGTGGGTGGCGGTGGCGGTGGCGGAGGTGGTAACCATGCTACCAGCGGTTTTGATGGTGAAAGCAGTGGTGTTAGTGGTGCGGGTAGGTTCAGTGGTGCCAGGACAACGAGAACTGCAGCCGCGGGTTCAGGAGGCATGGGGGGAATGGGTTACTTAGAAGGAGGAGCAAGAGGGGCGGGACGAGAAGAAGGTGTTCCAGGTGGCAACTTAGGGGCAGTTAGGGCCGAGAGGGCTAGTGTAGCTGGAGCCGTCTCTGCCGGGTTTACTGGCACCTCCCGTGTCAACCCTATCCGTGCTTCTGCTGGCGCTGCTGTGGCTCCTGTCGCTGCCACCACCACCACCATCAGCACCACCGCCAGCAGCAATAGCAGAGGTAGCAGCAGCAGCAGCAGCAGCAGAGGCGGAGTGACAGGGAGCAGCAAGTCGGATCTGTTATCGCGGGACCTGTGGATGAAGGACAGCCATGCGCTGCACTGCTACGCGTGTGACGCGCAGTTCACCATCCTCAACCGCCGCCACCACTGCCGCCGCTGTGGCCGCGTCTTCTGTGGCCGCTGCACCCAGCGCTCCATCCCCATGCCCTTCCTGCGCCGCGACCAGCCGCGGCCGCTCTTGCCTGCTGCTACTGCTGCTGGTACTGGTGCTGATGCTGGCGGTTCTGGCGGTGGTGGTGGTAGTGCTTCTGGGGGTAATGCTGCTGGTGCTGCTGGTGTTGGTGTTGGTGTTGGTGTTGGTGTTGGTGTTGGTGGGGCTCAGGATGTTGCTACTGAGAAGGTTCGGGTTTGCGACCAGTGTTACGCCGAAGCTCTCAGCTTGCCTCGGAAGGACTCCCAGCCAAGAGGCGCAGGTTCGGCGTTTCGAGAAGCGGTGGAGGTGGGAGAGGGGAGAGGAGGGATGCAGGGGAGGGGAGGGAGGGGAGAAGGGAGGGGAGGAGAAGGGGATATGTGGGAGTGGGAGGAGGGAGGGAAGATGAGGAGGGGATTGGGAGGGGGGGGTAGGGGTCAGAGTGGTGGAGCAGGGAGAGAGGGAGTGTATGGACTTGTGACGGGGATGGGAGCACTCAAAAACGTTTCGGTGGGGGAGGGGTGGGGGAAAGAAAGCAGGGGCGGGTATAGGGGAGAAGGAGGGGCGCTGTTGGGCTTCAGACGGCAGCGGAGCAGTGGATTAGTAGAGGGCGTGGGAGAAGGTGGTGGAGTTGGGACGCTGTATGAATTCGGGCGCCCGAAATACAGGTCGGCGCTGGCTGGCATTGTGTTTGGTGTGTTTTCTGCTTCTGCCTCTTCATTTTTGAGATCTTTTCGACTTTGTCCCCCTCTCCCTCTCCTCTTCACGCTCTCCCTAACACTACGGTGATGCGCGTTGTTTGTTTTTTCCATCATTTTTTGGAACGACATGACTTTGCAGGATAAATGATGAGGACTATGGAGAAGAAGAGGAGGATGACGCGGAAGAGGAGGAGGAGGAGGAAGAGGAGGAGGATGAGGAGGATGAGGATGACTGCGAGGAGAAGGATGATGACGAGGAGGAGGATGACGAGGAAGAGGAAGAGGAGGAGATGGGCTATATACTGTCACAGGGAAGGGCGAGACGAAGAGGCAGGGTAAGGGGCAGTACTGACTCTAGGGGGGGCGGGCCAGGGGAAAGGCTCAGAAATGGCAACGAGGGGGAGAAGTTGCTTTCAGGAGGCAGAGGGGATAGAAGAGGCGGGAATGGAGCACAGGCGGAAGCAGCAGGAGCAGCAGGAGCAGCAGGCGCAGCAGGAGCAGCAGGCGCAGCAGGCGCAGCAGGCGCAGCAGCAGGTAGAGGAGGAATGGTGAACGAGGATAGGATGAAAGGAAGAGTCGGAGGAGGAGTGGGAGCAGGAGGAACGGGAGGGGGACCAGGAGCAGGAGCAGGAGTAGGAGGAGGGGGGTTAGGAGGAAGAGGAGGAGGCATGGGTGGTATTGGGAGTGGAGGTCAAGCGGAGGCAACACGGAGAGGGTTGTTGGGGCTGGGAGGTTTTGCGGTTGGGGGCCTGAGCGGGTTTGGTGTGGGGTTCCAGTCACGGACTCTCTCACATGACAGTCTTGTGGGGCTCAATGGGCCGCACGATGGGGGGAGGAGCGAGAGGAATGGGTTGGATGGACGAAGTGAGAGAAGTGGTTCGGACCCGAAGTGGAGGAGTGGTAGAGAGGCGGTAGTGGAAAGGGGAGAAGGGGAGGACGGGGATGTGGAGGCGAGGAGAGGACCCCATGCTCGGCATAGTCACATTCATTATTATGACCCGAGGCACCATCACCAGGAGCAGCCACATCACCCGCAGCAGCAGCAGCAGCCTGAGCACCAGCACCGGTCTAGACAGCTGCAGCAGCAGCAGCAGGGCCCCCAGCAGAGGCATGTAGAGCAGCGTGACTGGCAGGGTGCTGAACACAGTACTGCGCCAATGAAAGGAAACGCCAGTGCTGGTGGCAGTTCAATTGCTACTCGCAGCACCACTGGTGGTAGCAGCAGCCGGGGGATGGTGGAGCTTGGTTCTGCTAGCAGTAACAGCAGCAGCAGCAGAGTACAGAATAGTACAAACAGCAAGGCTACGAGCAGCAGTAACGCCATCCAGGGCAGCAGCACTGACCGCAGCAGCAGCATCAGCAGCAGCAGCAGCGCGGACCATAGCAGAAGCAGCCCGCTCCCAGTACAAGCCCTTCCACAGACCCTCCCTTTATCACACCCGGCAGCAGCAGCCACCACAGGCAACGGGAGCCACGAGCTGCAGAAATCGCAGGAAAAGGAGAGCACCGGTAGTGGCAAGGAGATGCCTTGCAATGACACCAGAAAAGGCATTCCCATCAGCAACGCGCCACCAAAGCCCAAAGAACTATACGAGCGACTAGGGTCGATCAAGGGGTGGGGAGGTTGGGAGTATCTAGGGGCAGCGGTGACAGAGGAGGAGAGTGACAGAGAGAGTCCTTCCATGTGGGACCTGGCTTACTTCCCTTTCGGCTTCACCAAGACGTTTGGGCTTGGGCTAGGGGGAGGCAAGGCAGGGGGGAGTAGGATGGGCGGTGGCGAGGGAGAGAGTGGTGGTGGTGGTCATGGTGGTGTGGGCAAATCGTCGTCGGTTAATGCGCTCGACTCGTTTCCGTTCTCGCTCATTTCCCCTATAGGGCCCAAGCCTGCTGCTGCCTTGCCCGATGCTCCTGCTTCTCCTCCTGCGCCTGCTGCCGCTCCTGCCGCTCCTGCTGCTGTGTTACCAGCAGCAGTAACAGCAGCTGCCGAGCATGGAAGGCCGTCTCTCTGCCGTCCCAACACGCCTCCTCACCCCAGCACAAACGGGCAACACGCCAGCAACAGGGCTGTCCCTGGTTTGGCCTCTAACACTGGACCCAGTGCCCCTAACCCTAATGCCCGTAATGCCCCTACTTCCCCTAATGGAAATCACTTTTGAGAATTCTCAAAAGCGACACAACCTGGCTGTCACGACTGCCACTGGCTTGTCTGGCAGAGGGGGGCCTGGTGGTCGGCTGGAGGGAGGGGGGGGCACGGGTGGGGCCTTGGTAGGGGCAGGGAGGACGAGGAGTGGGTTTGGGTTGGAAGTGGAGGAGGCCGTGGAGGATAGTGATTGGTGGTGCCGGGATAAGTGGACGCTGGGGAAGAGGGGAGGCAGAGGTGGTGCTAGTGCTGCTGCTGGTGGTTGTGCTGCTGGCGCTTCTGCTGGGACTGCTTCTGCTGCTGCTGCTGCTGCTGGTGGCTCGAGCACGATTGGTGTTTCTGCAAGGCAAGGAGAGGGAGCAGGGCATGGGGAGGAGCAGTGGCAGAGAGGGGAGATGGGTGAGGGGTTAGCGGTAGGTGTGGGGGAGACAGGAGCAGCGGGAGTGGGTGAGCTATCACAAGATAAGGGTGGCGCCAACACATCAGTTGAGACGATAGGGGCTGCCCCTGGCGCTGCTGCCCTGGCAGTTTCTGCTGAAATGGGATCAGGAGCAACAGCAGCAGGACCAGAAGCATCACCGAATTCTGTGGCAGCAGGATTGTCAGCAGAAGCACCAGCAGCTAATGTGGCAGGAATGACAGCAGGAGCAAGTGCAGGAACAGACGCACAGCAACAGCCACAGCAACAGCCACAGCAACAGCAGCAGAAGAAGCAGCAGCAGCAGCAGTCAGGGGGTAGAGCAGCACAGGGGGCGCAGTATGACGTGGTGAAGGGGCCGGCGCTGCACATCCGCACAGGCAGCCAGGACCTCTGGCAGCCCAGGGATGACCTCCATGCCCCGCCTGCTGCCCCTGCTTCCTCCACTCCCTCTGCTTCTGTTTCAGCACCAGCTGCTGCTGCTGATGTTGCTACTGCTGCTGATGCTACCGCTGCTGCTGCAGCTGCTGCTAGTGCTGCCGGTGGTGCTGTGGGTGGTGGTGGGGGCAGCGGAGGGGAGGTGGGAGGAGGGGTTGGAGGGACAGGGGGAGGAGCAGGAGGGGGAAGCAGCGGGCTTGTACGTTCTGGGTCGTTTGGTGTGGTTGGGTCCGGTGTGGATGATCGAATTGGAGCTATGGTGGTTGCTACTCCCACTGCGTCTGGCTCAGCCACTCCCAGACCACGGTCTATACAGGAAGATGCAGATGCAGGGGAGGAGACGGTGGAAGGAGTGGCGTCCGGATTCGGCGTATCTCCGTACCTGCAGTCGTCGTACGGCTCGTCGTCCTCCGAGTGTCCAGATGCAGTGAATCTGGAGGCGAATAGCAAGCTCTGGGAGACGCCGCCTCCGGATTTGTCTGCACTTGGGGGAGGTGGGATTCAGGGCAGGGGCAGGGCGGTTGCATATGAGGATGAGGAGGACGAAGAGGGAAGCTGGTGGAATGAGAGAGGAGGGGAAGGAGAGGGAGAAGGGGAAGGAGATGGGTGGGAAGCGGGGAGCAGCACTGGTCAGTATGGTGATAGCTCATCCTCGGTTTATGGGGGTGGGGAGGGGTGGCAGGGAGATGGACAGATGGGGGCATACAGCGGAGCAGGAGGAGGAGGAGGAGGTGGAGCAAAACGAACAGCAGGGAAAGAGGGAGGAGGAGGTGCTGCAGCTGCTGCTGCGGTACTGTCAGGGGCAGGGGCAGGGGCGGGCACAGTGCTACCAGGCAGTGTGGACGCACGGGAGAGGCTAAGGGAGGTGGTGGAGGGGCATTTCAGCGCGCTAGTGGAGCAGATGCTCAAAGCAGAGGGGCTGCAGGCAGGGGCCGAGGGAGACCCCGAGGGATGGCTTGAAGTGGTTCGGCGCCTGGCGTCCGAAGCTGCGTCGCTGGTTCGGCCAGACTCAAGCTCGATGGGAGGATATATGGATCCCGGAGGGTACATTAAAGTGAAGTGCATCGCAGGGGGCAAGCGTAGTGAGAGGTAAGCGGAACCTGGGATGGAATGCGTGGCAGGAAGGTGGATATGCGAAGCCTGTACTCCTCATGCGCTGTTGTGCCCATCTCCCCTCCAACCCTCGCACCTGACATGTGGCCCTTGCATCTTAACCCTTCTTCCCCCTCATCTTCTCCCAATCCCTCCCAGCTGTGTGGTGGACGGCGTGGTGTGTCGCAAGAACGTGGCCAACAAGCGCATGGCATCAGACATTCGGTGGCCGCACATTGCACTGCTCGCCTCCACCCTCGAGTACCAGCGCTGCCCCAACCGCCTCTCCTCCATTGACACACTCCTCGCCCAGGTGGGCGCAGGTTGACTGCGGTTGGCTGCGGCTGGCTTGGGCTGGTTTAGGTTGACGAATCTCATTCATACACATCTAAACTTCACCTCAAGGTTTGTAATTCTCAAATTTCAACCCTCCTTTTCATTCTGCCTTCTTCTCGCCCCCTTCTTCATCCGATCTTCTCTTGCTTCCGCTCCTCCCCTCACCTCACCTGTCCTCCCCAGCAAGAGACCCATCTGCGTCACATGCTGCAGAAGATCGAGCGCACATTACGAGATGTCTTAAGCTCCTCCCTTCTCCCCGTCCTTCCCTTTCATCTCTTGTTTCCTTCTCTCTTGCTCGCCCATTCCCCAGCAAGAGACCCATCTGCGCCACATGCTGCAGAAGATCGAGCGCAAGTTCCCGCGCCCTGCCCCCCAACAAGCCCCCTCGCAAGCCTACCCGCAAGGCCACCAACAAGGCTACCCCCAAGGCTACTCCCAAGGGCCGCCCAGCAGCTACGGCGCACTCTCTGTTCCAACCACACCCTCAGGAGCAGCAGTGGGGGCAAGGGGCCAGGGTTTCCGGGGTGAAGGGGAGTCAGGTTCAGGGCTGACGAGGCAGACTGGGGTGATTGGCAGTGGTGCTTTCGGTGGTGTTAGTGGGGGTGGGGGGTCTGCTGTTGGGGGGTTTGGGGGTGGGTACGGTGCTGCTGCCGCTGCCGGTGGTGGTGGTGTGGGCAGGCATAGGAGGACAGGCAGCAACGCCAGCAGCACCACGGGGAGCATTATCAGCACCGGAAGCAGCAGTACCTACAACAGCAACAGCACTTACAGCAACAGCAGCAACAACACGTACAACAACCAAGCGGCAGCCCCGGCTCCGGGTGGGTTAACCCGGTACAGCAGCATGGGGAGCACCCATAGCCTCACCAGCTACCCCTCCACCCCTGCCACCACCACAAGCAGCAGCGGTAGCAATGGCCCCGCCTCAATCCCCCCAACTTCCTCTGCAGTCTCTGCGCTGCCAGCTGGCGCGGGCGGGCAGATGGGCGGGCAGGCGGGCGGGCAGGTGGGCGGCAGTGTGCTGCTAGTGGAGGGCACAGTATCCGGCTTCGCGCAGCAGTGGATGGTGGAGCATCGCATGTCTCTCGTCTTCAACGTCAAGCGCTCTCTCCTAGAGAGAGTGGCGCGCTGCACGGGAGCTAAAGTTGCTCAGTCCGCTGAGACTCTTGACAGGCTGGGCCAGTGCCAGCGGTTCTGGACAAGGAAGTTTGTGGAGGAGTGGGATGCGGTGGGGAGCGGTGGCGGTGGGGTGGGGGTGGAGGGAGGTGTGGGGGGTGGCAGGGGGAGGGGGTCTGGGATGGGTGCAAGTGGAGTTGTTAGTGGTGGTGGTGGCGGGGGCAGCAGTGTTGCCACTGCTGCTGCTGGTACTGCTGTTGGGGGTGGTCGCAAGAACGTGAAGACGCTGTTGTTTCTTGAAGGCTGTCCAATCCCTCTCGGCTGCACTGTACGTGCCTCCTCACTCCAAGGGCTCTCTTCTCACCCTGGTTTTTGCTTCAAGAAGATAATAAAATATCTCTTGGCTGGATTTCATTTCATCTTTACCCTCGCTCTCTCGAGCCACGAGAGTGGTATTGTTTGCAACGCGCTTCAGGGATGCACATTCTTCTTTCTATCTTCCCTTTTTTAACATGACGCCTTCATCCAATGTGTGTGTGTTTAAGTGAGAGAAGAGCGTCTCTCATTTATTATATCATTTCCGCCTCTCGCCCCTTGCCCCCTACCCTCTCTCACTCCATCCACCAGGTGCTGCTGATGGGGGCGCCCACAGCGGAGCTGAAGAGGGTGAAGCGGGTGATGCACTTTGCAGTGTTCGCCTCCTACCACCTCGCCCTTGAGACCTCCTTCCTTGCAGATGAAGGCGCCCTCCCCCCCGGCATCGCTCCCTGCCCCCCTCTGTGTGCCGCATTACCTCCTCCTGCTCCTGCTGCTCCTCTCATTTCCGCTCCTCCTGCTGCTGCCCCGTTTCCCCCGTTTCCCGCCGTTTCTGTTGACCCTCCTCCTCCTCCTCCTGCTGCTGCCGTTGCTGGCACGGCTTTCTCAGGTGAATCTGCTGCTGTTGATGCTCCTGCAAGGCCTGGAGATGGTGGGATTGGGGAGGATGAAGGTGGGGAGCGAGATAGACTAGCACAGGCACAGGTCTCTGGTGCTCTGATCAGCTCTCATCTGCCAGCTGGCGTGCCGCCATCGGCCGGTGATGCTCCGGCAGCGCAGCCTCATCTGCTTGCTGATGTCATGGCTGCTGACGTGGCTTCCACGGATAGGTTTTCTGCTTGTGTCGATCCCTCAGCAACAGCTGCTGCTGGTGTCATCGTCCTTCCTCCTACTATAGTCACGTCTGTACCCGTTAGTAGCAGCAGCAGTGGCAGCAACAGGCCGTCACCTCGCCGAATCGCACAGCTATCAGCATCCCTCTGGGCCAGTGGGGTGCCTGCTGTGAGAGAGAGTGGGGAGGGTGTGAGGGAGAGTGGGGAGGGTGTGAGGGAGGGTGGAGGAGTTGTTGAAAGACAGGGTCGAGAAGAGGAGGTGGTGGGTACTGGGGAAACAGGAGGAGAAGGAAGATCAGGTGGAGGTGCAGAGGGTGCAGGACAGGTGGCAGGAGACACAGCAGGAGAGGCGGCAGGGGGAGCAGCAGGCATTGGCGATGGCGAGGGAAGGCAGAGGGAAGCAAATGTGGCAGCACAAAGAGGGGCGATGGAGAGCAAGACTCCCTCAGTAGCTGCAGCTGCAGCACCAGCGCCGCCAAAGTCTCATTGGCCGTCACCAGCGCCACCAGCAGAGGCAGCAAGAGAGGAGAAAGCAGAGGCATCAGGTGGTGAGAGGATGGTGTGTGGATCAGCACAAGGGCAACAGCCACAGGTGGGTGAGGAGCTGAATGTGAAGCAATCTCAGCAGGCTGCAGGGGTGCTTTCTCCTCCTACTCCTCCACAGCAGCCGCAGCCGCAGCAGGCGCAGCAGCGGCAGCAGGGAGGGGTTGGCATAGCGATTCTGCTGGATGGAACAGACGCAGTGGAGGAACCACATACTTCCGATGCTTCTGGTGCCGGCGCTGGTGCTGCTGGTGGCGCTGGTGCTGCTGGTAGTAGGGATGCGTTTCCAACTGCTGCTGCTCCTGCTGCTGCTGCTGCTGCTGCCATTACTGGGGCCACAACGGCTGCTGTACAAAACAAGGCAGGTCTTATGGAGGTTGCGCCCCCGTTTACCACCCCACAGGCAGCAGCACCCAGTGAAGCAGCGCCTGATGTACCGCCCCCACTACCAGCACCAGCAGCACCTTCAGCAGCATCACCAGCAGCAGCAGCAGAAGGGAGGGACCCCGTCCCGCAGCCCCTCCCCGTTCCCCCCTCTCTCGCCCCACACTCCCACCTCGCCCCACACTCCCACCTCGCCCCACTCACTCCACAGCCCCACCTGGCCCACCCGCTGGCTCCGGTGTCGCCCTCAGAGCACCAGTCGATCCTGGTGTGGGCGTCCAGTCGCTGTGTGTCGCGCAAGCTGCTGTGTGAGCCGCCAGAACTGATGCGAATCAAGTACTATGGCGACAGGGACATGCCGCTGGGGCACTTCCTCACTCAATTCGTGCTCAACCCTCTCTGGGTGAGTGAGTGGACCCTAAAGAAGTGTTTTGAGACGTCTCAAAACACTTCCTCACTCAATTCGTGCTCAACCCCCTTTGGGTGAGTGAGTTGGCCCTCTTTTCTGCCCACGTGTAAAAAGAAGTGTTTTGAGACGTCTCAAAACACTTCCTCACTCAGTTCGTGCTCAACCCCCTCTGGGTGAGTGAGTGGGCCCTCTTTTCTGGGTGCCTGGAAGTGCTTCGTGCGCGTGTCTCCACCACACCACACACTCTCACACTGGCCATCACACCACCATCACATGTCAGGACTGTGTGCGGGTCAGGAAGGACTACGTGCGGGTCTACTCCCGCAAGTAGAGCCCCCTCACCATCTCCTCTTTGTTCCCATGCCTCCCACTCACTCAACTCTCCCCTCTCTGCCCTATTCCTCCCCACCCCACTGTCCGCGCTGCAAGTGCGGCACGCCGTCACAGGACCATGTGCGCATGTACTCGCACAAACAGGGTTCGCTTACCATCTCTGAGCGCAAGGCCAATCTCGCCCTCCCTCCACCCTTGTTTCCCTTCTCTCACGCTTATACCTATGTTGGAATTGACGCTCGTCTAGGGTTGCGTGTAGCGCTTTGACGCAAGCGATTTGACGCAAAACGCTTGACGCGCGTCAAATCGCTTGACGCAACCCTAATTTTTTTTCGGGCAGCCCAAAATCGAAACTTTTTTCCTCGCGAAAAAATTTGTGCTGCGATTTCGACGAGATATCGCGAATGCACATTTCAACCCGACATTGAGCAACATTGAACCACACAAAACCACACCTCCCCCCACCACATTGAACTGCCTTGCATCTTGGCCAAGGCAAAATGCAAAACGTCAAGTCGCAAATTCAAATTCCAAGCCAGGCCAAAGCAGCGCTCGGGGGCTGCATCTAGTAACACGGTGAAGTACGAGGAGATGTTGGACCACCCTATCTACAAGCACTATTACTTCTTCAACGTTCCCAACGTTAAGGGGAAACGTGCCAAGTGTCGTTATTGCAAGCACACGTTTGGGCAATCTACCACACGTTGTGCGCACCATCTCGCGATGTGGGCAGGCCAAGGACGCCGCTTGCTTCTCCTTTGCGACAAAGCGCCTAAGGAGGTTGTCGATGCCATTCGCAAGGCCAACGAGGACAAGAAAGAGGCTAAGGCGGAGAAGCACAAGGCAGAGGAAGCTGCAGTTGATGCTGTTACCGGTGGACCGTCAAAGAGAGGCAAAATCACCGACTTCTACAACGATGGTGCAACTGATGCCAAGCGGAGGGCGGATGAGGCGGTGTGCCTGTATTTCGCAGCTATGCGCGTCCCCGAGCACCACGCCGACCATGTCCTCTTCCGCAACATGTTGCGGGCCATCGCGGAGGCGGGCACCGGATACGTACCGCCCAAGCGCAAGTACGTTGGAGGTGCGGGTCTGCAGCAATGCCGCAAGAGGATTGAAGAAGGTTTGGCCCCGATCGCGGGTAGCAGGCCGAAGGTGGGTGTGACAATTGGCAGCGATATGATGACTGATAAGAGCGGCCGCGCGCAGGCGAATATCATGCTCATCAACGACAACGGCGCAATGTTCGTCGAGAGCGTCGATTGCGGCATGGTGAAAAAAACGGGACGCTACATTGCCAGCCTCCTGGAGCCGATTGTGGAGAAAGTAGGGGCGCAGAACGTAGTGGCGTTGTGCACTGATGGGGGCAGCAACTACGCCGCTGCAGGTCGGAAGTTGGTGGCGAAATGGCCGCACATTGAGCACGTGGCCTGCGCCACCCACGTGCTCGATCTGCTCATGGAGGACGTGGGCAAAATGAATTGGGCCAAGAAGCTTGTCGACCGCGGCTCCGAGATTGTCACCTTCTTGCGCAAGCACCATTGGACCCGGGCTTTCTTGAGGACCCCTGAACTCCATGGTTTAAAGGTGCTGCAGCCGCTGCGTCCCGCGGGAACGCGGTTTAGGACTCAGAATACCGCTCTTTCCCGCCTTCTCGAGCTGCAATCGCATCTGACACTGATGGTCATTGGTGAGGCTTGGGATAAGTGGGCGGTGGGGAAGCGCAAGGTGACGGGGGAGCAGCGTTTTTCGTGAAGCTGATGCAGATCCCTTTCAAAACCATGCGGGCAACGGACTCGGCTGCTAAGGGCATGATGGGTCGTATGTACGACCTCATGCTCCAGCTTACCGAGGATGTTGAGGCGGTGCTGGATGCAGACGAGCAGCAGCTGAGCAGGGCGGAAAAGAGGGAGGTGTCACGCATTGTCAAGGAGCGATGGGATCACTCCTTGGCATGCCCCTTGCATGTGGCTGGCCGGATTTTGAATCCGGCCAACCAAGATGAGGAGATTTTTGGGGAGGACGCAGAGTGCACGCGTGTGTTCAAGGAGTTCATCTCCCGCGCAAACTCCTACCTGGAGAAGTACCGGAAGGGAGCCGGCACGTCGGGGTCGGGGATGTCGTTGGAGGAGGGTGTTTCGGCGTACCTGGATGGGGTTGGGAGCTTTGGGCAGCCGGATGCGGTGGCTGCTCGGGAGAAGGTGAAGGCGGGGAAAATGAGCGCAGTTCTTTGGTGGAAGTGGCATGGGAGCACATGCCCCGAGCTCGCGAGGATTGCACGCCGTGTGCTTTCCCAGCCGGTTTCCGCTGCATCGTACGAGCGGAACTGGGCGGTTTGGGAATCGGTGCACACGGCGCGTCACAACAGGCTCGGCTCTGAAAAATGCCGTGACCTCGTGTACGTTGCGCACAACTGGAACGTTGTGCGCAACTGGCACAAGGGTCCAGAGGAGGGGATGGGGGTCATGGAGGGGAATATCCCTGAGCCCCCCATCCCTACTGGCTATGTCGTCAAGGAGGGGGCGGAGGAGGAGGTGCTGGAGGAGGATGAGGACGACTTGCTGGCTGACGAGTATGAGCCGGAGGAGGAGGAGCCAGAGGAGGCCTGAGGAGGAGGTGCTGGAGGAGGCCGAGAGGAAGTTGATGGCTGACGAGCCATAGAGTGGGAGGTGTGGGATGGATGGAGGAGGGCCATGTGAGTACTTGAGATAAGTACTCATAGGTAGAACCATGCAACTTCTTGTGATGACCTATGCATGCATGCAGAAAAAAAAAAATCACACTCTGGAAAATTCAAGATTTGGGTCGACCCCTTCACATTGTCCCCATCTTCTCCCCCTACAAAGTTTTTTCCCCCCTGCCCGGGAAAAGTTTTAGGCTGCCCGCCAGTGCGTCAAACCTGCGTCAAAAAACTCCCAAAGTAGCGTCAAGCGTCTTGACTCTAGCGTTTTGACTCTAGCGTCATTGACTCTTGACGCGTCAATTCCAACATAGGCTTATACCATTTTCGAGGCGCCTCAAAATTCCCTTCTCTCACGCTTATACCCCCTCATCCCTCCCAGCACTGCAAGTGCGGCATGCCGTCACAGGACCATGTGCACGTGTACAGTACTCGCACAACAAGGGTTCCCTCACCATCTCCTCCCTCACCATCTCCCCCTCTCTCCTTCTCTCCCTTTCTCCCCTCCTCCGCTCCACCCTTCATTGCCCCTCCCAGCGCTGCAAGTGCGGCATGCCATCACAGGACCATGTGCGCGTGTACTCCCACAAGGAGGGTTCCCTCACCATCTCCGTGTGCAAGGCAGACGACATCCTCCCCCCCACACACCCTCTGCAACTGCCAGGGGGAGGGGGAGCAAGCGGGGGAAGAGGAGCCTATGGGGGGGGGGGAGGGGGGTACGGGGGAGGCGGGGTGAGTGCAGGAGCAGGGGAGGGGGATATGGGGTGTGGAGGAGGGCAGGACTCTGCTGTGTCTGCTTCTGGCTCTGCTGGGGCTGCTGCTCTGGGCGGTGCGTGCCCGCCGCCCGCTGCCGCCCGGTGCATCTGGATGTGGCATCGCTGCCGGCAGTGCCGCCCGGTGGACGGAGTGGCGCCGGCCACGCGCCGCGTGCTCATGTCCGAGGCGGCATGCAAGCTGTCGCTGGGAAAGTTCCTGGAGCTTTCCTTCACCAACCATGTGGTGGTGGGGCGGCTGGCGGCCTGTGGGCACTCGCTGCACCGCGACTGCCTGCGCTTCTACCGGTGGGTGGCAGCGTCTGTCCTTTTACCATGCTTTTTTTCCCTGTGAGCAGGAGTGGCGACATGATAGCAATGCCTGGCCTACTCGCCCATGCATCTCTACCTCTGCACCTCACCTTCAACCACCGCTTTTGAGACATCTCAAAAAGACCATGCCTTTCCTCCTCTTTCCCCGTGCCACGCCGTGTGTCCGTGTGAGCAGGAGTGGCGAGATGATAGCATGCCTATTTTTGAGGTGCCAAAAAAATTTCCTCCTCTTTCCTTGTGCCATGCCATGTGTCCCTGTGATCAGGAGTGGCGAGATGATAGCTTGCCTGGCCTACTCGCCCATGCACCTCTACTCCGTCTGCCTGCCCCCCCTGCGCCTCACCTTCAACCACCGCCAGCAGCAGCAATGGCTCGTGGACGAGTTCAACGATGTGAGTGCTGCTGCTGTTGACTTGGTTGACTGCGGCGTGAGTCGTGGGCCATTGCTCACTCAGACTCAGTGGCTGTCCATCCACCACCAGCCACAGGGTGGTATCGCTATCTATGTGCTGATTGGGATGGGATGTGATGCATCTGTTTCGCTTCCTCACATCCTGTAGGTAGCAGAGGCAGCGGAGGTTATCATGGTGCAATGCATTTCACAGCACACCTGCATGTCTCCCGTCCCTTTCTGCCCTACTCCTCACATCCCACAGGTGGCGGAGGCAGCAGAGCGCGTGTTCATGGACATCATGAACGCCCTTGATGCCCTTGCAGCGCGCCTGGCACAGGGTGGCCCGCTGTCTGCTAGCCGCTTCCCCGAGGCACGGGCGAGCCTGGCGCTGCTGGAGGCGACTCTGCAGCGTGATAAGGCAGTGTTTGATGTGAGTGTGGTGCGGTATGGTGTGTTGTGGTGCTGTGCGGTTGAATGCTCTTGATTCTCTTGCAGCACAGGTGGCCCGCTGTCTGATGTGAGGCACGGGCCAGCCTGGCGCTGCTGGAAGCTGCCCTGCAGCGCGATAAGGCGGTGTTTGACGTGAGTGTGCTGTGCTGTGCTGTGCTGTGCTGTGATGTGCTGCGGATGATGGGCATATGATGTGAGTGTGGTTTCTTCCTTCCACCTTACTGATCGACCGACAGGCTGACCGACTGACTGGCCGACTGGCCTGGTCTTGTTGTTTCTCGCTTCCTACGGAGGCGCCTTAACTCAACGTCGTCTCGTGTCTCACGGGATTGCTGTGAGCACTTCTCACAATAACAGCGTCTGACCTGACCTGCTTCTTGCTGTTTCTCCTCACTCGCTACGCTTCTCTTCCATCTCTCCTACTGTTCCCTTCCCTCCACAGAAAAAACTCCAGCAGGCGGCACCGGATTTCAACCTGCCCGCCGGGCAGCCTGTGACAGACATTTTGGAGCTGAACCAGGTGCGGCGAGATCTGACTGTCCAATTGGCCGAGTGGGCGGAGCGGCTGCAAAGATTAGCGGCGGAGATTCAGCAGCAACCACAGCAACGAGCAGCAGTCATGGCAGCAACCCCAATGCAATCCGAAGCACCAGTAGGTGCACCTGAGGCAGCAGCAGCGTCAGAAACAGGTGGAGAAGAAGCAGGGCCAACGGATGGCAGGGAAGGCGTTAGTCTAGCCAAAGGACAGGTGTCGCTCGGTGATCCGTCACAAAAAGCAAGCCCGAGGGCAGCAGCAGCAGCAGCAGCAGGTGGAAGGAGGGTCTTTGGAGGTGCTTGGTAGGGATGACTCCTTGGGCCTGTTCAATGCCACACTAGACCTCGCTGCCCGCACTGCAGAGGCTCGGCGAAAAAAGGCCTGGGAGGCGGAGGCTCGGGAAACAGAGACCCGGAGAACAGAGGCTCAGGAAACAGAGGCTCGAGAAGCAGAGGCACAGGGAACAGAGGCCGGGGAAGCAGAGGCCGGGGAAGCAGAGGCACAGGACGCAGGAAGTGAAGGGTCCACTCTGCCAGTATTGGAAGGTTCAGGGACAGAGGAGGTTAAAGAAGAGGGAGAGAGTGGGAAGAAGGCAGAGCAGGAAGGCGAGAGCAGTGCTGCTGGGATCTTGTTGCTTGATGGTGGGGAGGGAGGAGTGAAGGGGAGTGGGGTGGATGGGAAGGGAGAGGATGGAGTGGAGGAGAAGAGATTGGAGGGAGTGGAGGGAGAGGGAGAGGAGGGAGAGGGAGAGGAGGGAGAGGAGGGCGTGAAGGAGAGTGGGGTGGAGAAGAAGGGAGAGGGTTTCAAGGAGAGTGAGGTGGATGGAACCATGGTGATTAGCAGTGAGAACAGAGTGGGGGGAAACAGTGAGGCAGTGATTCGCCACGTGGAGGGTGATATTGCTGAGAGTGAGTGCGAGGAGGCTGGGGCAAGGAGCATGGGTGCAGCATATGCTCTGATGAGAGCATGCTCAGCAGATGCATGTGGGGAGGAGAAGGCAGATGCATGTGGGGAGGAGAAGGCAGATGCATGTGGGGAGGAGAAGCCAGAGGCGTCTGATGAGAGGACGGTACCCCTAACTGTGACTGCAACCCAGGAATTAGCAGACAATACAGGGGTGGCGATACTACAAGGCGCTGGGGCCGCGGTTGGTAGTGCTGCTGCTCCTTCTGGTGCTCCTGGGGCAGCAGCAGCAGCAGCAGCTCCTGGTAGTGTTCCTGCTGCCACTGCTGTTGCTGCTATCACTCCTGCAGTTTCTTCTGCTTCTACAGCTGCAGCTGCCACCGAGGTCGCCGCTGTCACCGCTGCTGCACCTGTAGCCGGACAAGCTACTGGCCCTGCTGCTCTCCTTGGTGCTGACGTGGCTGCTGACGTGGCAGTTGCTGAGTCAGCAGCAGATGCTGCTGCAGTTGCTGACTGGGCGGTGGGAGTGGCAGGAGCAGCAATGGTGCCCCGAGCCCTGTCTGTTGGCCATCTCCCTGTGTGGGCCTCCTTACCTGCTGCCATTTCATCCGCCTTGCCATCAGCCCTACCAGTACCTTTACCCTCTGTCCTACCAGCGGCAGCCTTGCCATCGGTTCTACCAGTAGCGTTACCAGGAATTTCTCCACCTGCTTCGTCTGCAGCAATTGTAACCGACTTGCCTGGAGCAGCGCCGGCAGCAGCAGTTGCACCAGAAGAAGCAGCATCAGCAGGAGCAGTGGTAACAGCAGTGGCAACATCAGCAGCGCCAGCATTTGCACCAGAAACAGCCACAGAGGCAGCATCAGCAGCAGCACTACCACCACCATCAGCAGCAGAAGCACCAGCAGTAGCACCAACCCAAGCAGCAGCAGCAGCAGCAGCAGCAGCAGCAGCAGCAGCAGAAGCAGCAGCAGCAGCAGCAGCACCAGCGGCAGCAATAGCAGTAGCAGAGCCAGCAGCAGTAAGGCCGAGCATGGCAGCGGGTCTGAGCAGCGCTCTGTCAGGAGCCTGGGGGTCGTTCCTGCTCCCGTTCTCCCGACCTGGCAGCGTCAACAGTGCTGCATCGCTGGTGGAGGGGCAGAGCAAGGTCGGTGAGGGGAGGGATGGAGGACGAGATGGGGGGGCGGAGGCAGGGCGGACGGAGGATAGAGAGGAGAAAATAGGGGAGGAGAAAATGGGGGAGGAGAAGAGAGAGGAAGGCAAGACAGGAGAGGAGACGACAGGGGTAGAGAAGGTAGAGGAGGGAAACGAAGGGGAGGGGGGGGAAGAGGAGGGGAATGCGTTGGACGAAAACGCAATGGGAAAAGACGAGATGAGTGTGGCAGAGGTTGCAGGTGAGGTGGATAAGACAGCCGAAGTGGATGCGGAACAGATAGAGGAGGGGAAGGAGGAATTGACTTGTCAGGCTGCTGATGGCATTAATGGGGGGGGGAATGGGAGGGAGATGGCTCCCGATGGTTCTGCAGAGTGCAGGGGAGCACAGGGCACAGGGCACAGGGCGCTGGCAAGTGGGTTGGAGCGTGGGAGGGACGCTGGTAGCTATAGCTTCTCAGACTGGAGTGGAGAGGGGGGAGCGCGAGAGGAAGAGGAATGGAGGGCTGTGAAAGGGGTTGAGGAGAGGAAAGAGGAGGGTGGAATGAGAGGGGATGAGGTTGAGGAGAGGAACAAGGCGGGTGGAACAAGAGGAGCTGTGGATGAGGAGAGAGGTGCGGAGGGAGGAAGGGAAGGTGGTGAGGAGCAGGAGAAGGAAGCAATGACTGTCCCAGCAGAAACAGCAACAGTGTCTGTGCCAGCGGCGGCACCAGCAGAAGCACCAGCAGTGTCTGTTCCAGCAATAACACCAGTGCTGTCATTGGCTGCTCCAGGCGCGTTGCTGGCAGCAGCTGCTATCACTCCGCGCCTCTCTCGTCGCTCCAGCCTCCCTCCCCGAGCGCCAGTGCCTGGCAGCTGGGTGGCTTCCGGAGGGACGGCAGCAGACGCACCGTCACCAGCAGCAAGCACGCCGGCAGCAGCAGCAGCTGCAGCAGCAAGCACACCGAACACAGCAGCTAGCATGCCGGCAGCAGCAGCGAGTGGCAGCAAGGGTTCTGCAGAAGAGACACCAACAGCAGCTGCAGCTGCAGCTGCAGCGGCAGTGGCAACAGCCATCAACAGCGAAACAGGGGGCGCAGCAGCAGGTGAAGAAGCAGTTCCTTCTGCTTGTTTACCTGCGACTGCCTCTGGAGCTGCTCTGCATCAGCCGTCTGCGGATGCAGAAGCAGCACCTGTGCACCCCACCACCACACCCACTACTGCTGCTGCTGCCCCTGCCGTAACCACACCTGGAACTGAGGCATCGCCAGCTGCCGGCGCTGCTTTTGCTGATGCTGCTAGTGCTGGTGCTGGCTCTGCTGGTTCTGCGGGTGCTGCTGGTGCTGCTGATTCTGATGCTGCTGCAGCAACAGCGTCTGAGGAGGCAGCAGCAGCACCAATACGTTCCTTCAGCTGCAACACAGCAGGCAGCAGCAATAGGTCCCTTGCAAGCACCCCTATGAGCCACCCTGCAGCAAGCACCACGGCGTCGCCGCTCTCCCGCTCGCCCTCCTTCCTCTCCCTGGCTGGCCCCTCCAGTGCTGTGCCGCCTCTGGCTTCCATTGGCAAGCTGGTGAGTGGGGCACGTTGGTGAATGGATACATACAACATACATACATGCATGCATGCATTGGCATGGCATGAGTGACGTGAGTGAGCGCTGACAACTATCGAGAAGTTGTAAGCACGGCAATCTGAAAACTTTTGAGACGTCTCAAAAGTATTTAAGCACGGCAATCTGATGAATGAATGTATCCATCCTTTTGAGACGTCTCAAAAGCAATCTGATGGATGAATGTATCCATCCGTGCAAACTCATGCATTTTCCTTCAATCCTTGTTTGTACTTGATCTTTCTTTCATAATAATTATATTCCCCCTCCTGCCTGCCTGCCCCCTACTCTCCTCTCCTCCTCCCTGACCCACCCCTGCACGCACATTCTACCTCAGTACCCCCCAGCCCTGCCTTGCTGGGTTAGAGCGCACGTGCTCCTGCCCTGTGGCATATTTTTGAGTCGAAAATACATTCTACCTCAGTCTCCCCCAGCCCTGCCTTGCTGTGTAGAGCGCACGTGCTCCTGCCCTGTGGCATATTTTTGAGTCGAAAATACATTCTACCTCAGTCTCCCCCAGCCCTGCCTTGCTGTGTAGAGCGCACGTGCTTCTGCCCCCTGGCATATTTTTGAGTCGAAAATACATTCTACCTCAGTCTCCCCCAGCCCTGCCTTGCTGTGTAGAGCGCACGTGCTCTTGCCCTGTGGCATATTTTTGAGTCGAAAATACATTCTACCTCAGTCTCCCCCAGCCCTGCCTTGCTGTGTAGAGCGCACGTGCTCCTGCCCTGTGGCATATTTTTGAGTCGAAAATACATTCTACCTCAGTCTCCCCCAGCCCTGCCTTGCTGTGTAGAGCGCACGTGCTTCTGCCCCCTGGCATATTTTTGAGTCGAAAATACATTCTACCTCAGTCTCCCCCAGCCCTGCCTTGCTGTGTAGAGCGCACGTGCTTCTGCCCCCTGGCATATTTTTGAGTCGAAAATACATTCTACCTCAGTCTCCCCCAGCCCTGCCTTGCTGTGTAGAGCGCACGTGCTCCTGCCCTGTGGCATATTTTTGAGTCGAAAATACATTCTACCTCAGTCTCCCCCAGCCCTGCCTTGCTGTGTAGAGCGCACGTGCTTCTGCCCCCTGGCATATTTTTGAGTCGAAAATACATTCTACCTCAGTCTCCCCCAGCCCTGCCTTGCTGTGTAGAGCGCACGTGCTCCTGCCCTGTGGCATATTTTTGAGTCGAAAATACATTCTACCTCAGTCTCCCCCAGCCCTGCCTTGCTGTGTAGAGCGCACGTGCTTCTGCCCCCTGGCATATTTTTGAGTCGAAAATACATTCTACCTCAGTCTCCCCCAGCCCTGCCTTGCTGTGTAGAGCGCACGTGCTTCTGCCCCCTGGCATATTTTTGAGTCGAAAATACATTCTACCTCAGTCTCCCCCAGCCCTGCCTTGCTGTGTAGAGCGCACGTGCTCCTGCCCTGTGGCATATTTTTGAGTCGAAAATACATTCTACCTCAGTCTCCCCCAGCCCTGCCTTGCTGTGTAGAGCGCACGTGCTTCTGCCCCCTGGCATATTTTTGAGTCGAAAATACATTCTACCTCTGTCTCCCCCAGCCCTGCCTTGCTGTGTAGAGCGCACGTGCTCCTGCCCTGTGGCATATTTTTGAGTCGAAAATACATTCTACCTCAGTCTCCCCCAGCCCTGCCTTGCTGTGTAGAGCGCACGTGCTTCTGCCCCCTGGCATATTTTTGAGTCGAAAATACATTCTACCTCAGTCTCCCCCAGCCCTGCCTTGCTGTGTAGAGCGCACGTGCTTCTGCCCCCTGGCATATTTTTGAGTCGAAAATACATTCTACCTCAGTCTCCCCCAGCCCTGCCTTGCTGTGTAGAGCGCACGTGCTCCTGCCCTGTGGCATATTTTTGAGTCGAAAATACATTCTACCTCAGTCTCCCCCAGCCCTGCCTTGCTGTGTAGAGCGCACGTGCTTCTGCCCCCTGGCATATTTTTGAGTCGAAAATACATTCTACCTCAGTCTCCCCCAGCCCTGCCTTGCTGTGTAGAGCGCACGTGCTCCTGCCCCCTGGCATCGGCGGGCACATCATTGCTGTGTATGAGAACAAGCCCACGTCGCTTATCCCTCCCTCCCCCCCCCCCCTTTTCCCCCAAACCCCCCTTCTTCCATGACTCATACAGAACCCTCCGGCCTTGCTAGGAAGAGACGTGTGATGAGGTTATTTTTTAGACGTCTCAACAGTAACATTTTTCCCCCAAACCCCCCCCTTCTTCCATGACTCATACAGAACCCTCCGGCCTTGCTAGGAAGAGACGTGTGATGAGGTTATTTTTTAGACGTCTCAACAGTAACATTTTTCCCCCAAACCCCCCCCTTCTTCCATGACTCATACAGAACCCTCCGGCCTTGCTAGGAAGAGCTCACGTGCTCCTGCCACCCGGCATCGGCGGGCGCATCATTGCTGTGTACGAGGACGAGCCCACGTCGCTCATTGCGTACGCCATCTCGTCCAATGAGTACTACCGCGCCGTGCATGGCGCCGCCACTGTCGTTGGTGCCACTGCTGCCCACACTGCCATTGCTCAGAATGCCGCTAGTTCTGCTCGTGCGCCTGCTTCTGGTGGTGCTGCTGCTGCTGTCAGTAACACGTCTGCTGCTGGGGGAGGGGCTGGGAGTGGTGGTGCGGGTGCGGGTGCTGGTGCGGGTGCTGGGGCGGGTGTGGGTGTGGGTGTGAGTGTGGGGCAGATAGGGAGTGTGTTTGGGCCTGGAGTGTCAGCCAAGGGGGTAGGGGGGAGTGGGAGAGTGGTGGAATCAGAGGTGGTGGGGGCTAAGGCAGTAGGCGAGCTGGTCAGGCAAGCCTCTTCTGCTGCTGCAGCTGCTGCAGCGGCAGCGGCGGCCATGGCAGCAGTAGAAGCAGATGATAAAACAGGAGGAGGAGCAACGGAAGCAGGATCAGGAGGAGGAGGAGCAGCAGCAGCAGCAGCAGCAGGGCCAAGCCGTGCAGGTGCAGCAGCAGATGCATGTGGAAGCGTTGCTGCCCCTACACCTGATTCTGCAGCTGAAAGCACTCGTCGCACTGATGGCTCTCCACCTGCTGCTGCTGCTAGGGCACCAGGACCCACAGCAGGCTGCATAGAGACTGCAGCAGCAGCAGATGCACAGTCCACAGCTGCAGGGGCAGCAGGGGGGAAACGAACAGCAGGGGAAGGAAGCGAAATCGATTGGGAGGCGAGAGGGGGAGGGGGAAATGGAGCAGAGTTGGCGAGCTCAGGTGCTCCAGCAGCTGCAGCAGCAGCAGGAGCAGCAGGAAGAGCAGGAGCAGCAGGAAGAGCAGGAGCAGCAGGAAAAGAAGCGTACGGGATGGCTGCAGGAGGAGCGGCCAGTGAGGCTGTGGAAGAGGCTAGAGCCCTTCGCGAAAGAGATGGTGGAGGAGGTAGCGATGGTCGGAGATCTAGAGAAAGTAGTACTAGCGATAGTGCAGCAGCAGCAGCAGCAGCAGCAGCGCCCTGTGGCAGTGGCAGTCCGGTGCCCGACGGAGGGCAGGCCCGGCAAGCCCATGCGCTGCACGCTGCTTCTGCACAGAGTGCTGTAGAGGCAGGTAGAGAAGATGGTGAGGGAGTGGAGAGCGGTGGGGTTAGATCTAGTGCCGAGCTGAGAATGCTGGCAGGAGCAGAGAGGGATGGTGCTGGTCCTGGTGCTGGTGTTGCTGGTGATGGTGATGGTGGTGGTGCTGACACTGCAGGCGTGACACAAGGGCTGAAAGATAGACTGGAACAAGATAGACTGGAACAAGATAGACTGGAACATGATAGACTGGAGCATGGGTCCGTGCCTCAAGACACGTCTGCGACTGCAAGTGCTGATAGTGGTGGGGGTGCTGCTGGCGAGACTTCTTTTGCCACTGCTGATGGGCGTGGTGATGTGGGAGGAGAGGAGGGAGCTTGCAAGCAAGAGGAGACATCATCACAAGACCATCAACCAGCATCCTCCATGCAGCACGAACAAGTGCAACAAAAACCTTCAGAAGCAGCATCGGAACCGTCACAGTCGCAGGAAGAACCATTACAAGCACAACCAGAAGAGAGGCGAGCTGGGGGAGAGACAGAGCCAGTGCCAGTGCCAGTGCCAGTGCCATCGCAAGGGGAACCGGAGCCCATGCCATCTCGGGGAGAAGCGGCTCCAGTGCCGTCCCGGGATGAGCCATTGCCATCCCGAGAAGAGCCAGTGACAATGCCCACTCAGGAGGACCCGCTGCTGTCCCGGGAGAAACGCCACGTGAAAGTGGCATTCACAGTGGGGGGAGGTGACGATACCCTGCCCTTCCCCGCACTGCCCTTCCTCCCCGGCCCCACCACCAACCCCACCGGCACCACGGGCAGCAGCAGCGCCAGCAGCGGGATTAGTGGCGGCATTAGTGGCAGTGGCATGAACAGTGGCGGTATGAGCAGCGGTGCGTCAACGCCAGTGGGTGCTGGTAGCAGTAGCCGTCGGCGTGGGATCGGCGGTGGCGTTGGTGGGGGGAGTGGCTCTGCAGCATCGTTCCAGGTGACTGCCTACTTCGCCAAACAGTTTGACGCGCTCCGCCGCAAGTGCTGCTCTCCCTTCCCCCCAGCCACCGCCACTGCCTCATCCGGCCAGCAGAAGGCTGTAGCTGACACAGGAGAAGGGGCAGCAGGGTCGGCAGGGGCAGCGGGGGCGGCAGGGGCAGGGGCGGCAGGGGAAGGGGTGGTGGACGGGAGTGGCGATGTGGAGTTTGTGCGGTCGCTGTGCCGCTGCAAGCGCTGGAGTGCCGAGGGCGGCAAGAGCTCCGTGTATTTCGCCAAGACTGCGGACGACCGTTTTGTCATCAAACAGGTGGGTTGAACTCTCCTTTCCTCAGACTCTGGCCGCCCTCTGCCCTCTCCTTGCCTGTGCGCTCTCCTCTCCTCTCCCCTCACCTCTTCTCCGCCCTCGTTTTTGTTTATTATTATTATTGTTACTATTAATATTACTATTGTTATTATTATTATTGTTGTTATTATTGTTATTATTGTTATTATTATTATTATTATTATTGTTATTGTTATTGTTATTATTATTATTACTATTTTTATTATTTTAATCTCCTATTTTTCTTCATCTCACAGTCAAGCCCTTGTGTTTCCGTCCACTCTCCCTCATCCCCGTTATAAGGTGCAACGCAAGGAAATACTGGCGTTTCTGGACTTTGCCACGACTACTACTTCAAGCACCTGTTTGACGCCATCGAGTCCAGCAACCCCTCCTGCCTCGCCAAGATCCTCGGCCTCTACCAGGTGGGGTCGTGAGGGGGATTTGTGTAGATAGATGATGCTGATGTGTGGGAGGGATGTGAATGGTCCTTGTTTTGTACCAGTTGCTGTCGTGAGGGATAATATCGCTCTCTGCTTTTTGCTCTCTCTCTCCTCTCTCCCTTTCCTCTCTCCCTCCTGCACTCTCCTCTCTGCACTCTCCTCTCGCTGCACTCCTCTCTGCACTCCCTCTCTGCACTCTCCTCACGCACTCTCCTCTCTGCACTCTCCTCTCTGCACTCTCCTCTCTGCACTCTCCTCTCTGCACTCTCCTCTCTGCACTCTCCTCTCTGCACTCTCCTCTCTGCACTCTCCTCTCTGCACTCTCCTCTCTGCACTCTCCTCTCTGCACTCTCCTCTCTGCACTCTCCTCTCTGCACTCTCCTCTCTGCACTCTCCTCTCTGCACTCTCCTCTCTGCACTCTCCTCTCTGCACTCTCCTCTCTGCACTCTCCTCTCTGCACTCTCCTCTCTGCACTCTCCTCTCTGCACTCTCCTCTCTGCACTCTCCTCTCTGCACTCTCCTCTCTGCACTCTCCTCTCTGCACTCTCCTCTCTGCACTCTCCTCTCTGCACTCTCCTCTCTGCACTCTCCTCTCTGCACTCTCCTCTCTGCACTCTCCTCTCTGCACTCTCCTCTCTGCACTCTCCTCTCTGCACTCTCCTCTCTGCACTCTCCTCTCTGCACTGCACTCTCTCTCCTCTCTGCACTCTCCTCTCTGCACTCTCCTCTCTGCACTCCCTCCTGCACTCTCCTCTCTGCACTCTCCTCTCTGCACTCTCCTCTCTGCACTCTCCTCTCTGCACTCTCCTCTCTGCACTCTCCTCTCTCTCTCACTCTGCCCTCTCCTCTCCCCTCTCTCCTCCTCCCTCGCTCCTCTCTCCTATCTTTGCCCTATAACCTTCCATCCCGTGCATGCGTGTGTGAGCAGGTGACAGCAAAGGGCGTGACTATGGACGTGATGGTCATGGAGAACCTGCTCTACGGCCGTCGGATCACCAAGCTCTACGATCTCAAGGGCTCCCGTCGCTCCAGATACAACGCAGACCGCTCCAAGAGCAGGGTATGTGCGCAAGGGGTTGGGTGGGGTAGGGTGGGGGAACCTGTACATACACTTGTGGTTCCTGTACATGCATTTGTGATAAAGCATTCTCACATCAACTCCCCTTTTCCCCCGTCTCTTTCCCATTCTCTTCCCTCCTCCTCTCTTCTCCTCGCCTCAGGTACTGCTAGACGAGAACCTGCTAGAAGCCATGCCCACGTCGCCCATCTTCGTAGGGAAGCGGTCCAAGCAGCTGCTGGAGCGCGCTGTGTGGAACGACACGGCATTCCTCGCGGTGAGACGAGATGAGAGTGGTTGAGAGCAGTTGTATGTAAGATGGGTAAGCATTCACCTCCACGCAGCTGCTGGAGGGACGTGTGGGAACCACGCCGTTCCCCCATTGGTACAAAAGCGGCTGAGAATCGTTGAGAGCGGTTGAGAATCAGGTACGAAGGTAATGATTCACTCACCACCCCTCCCCACCTGTTCCGGTCCCTTCCCCACCCACAGAAACACGCCATCATGGACTATTCTCTGCTCGTAGGGGTAGAAGAGGAGCGCTCAACACTGGTGGTGGGCATAATCGACTTCATCCGCCCCTACACGTGGGACAAGCAGCTGGAAACATGGGTCAAAGCGTCTGGACTGCTAGGGGGAGGCGGGGCGGGCAAGGACTCTACTCCTACGGTGATCTCTCCTTCTAACTACAAGAAACGGTTCCGGAAGGCCATGCAGACGTACTTTGTGATGGTGCCCGATCAGTGGGTGCCGCGGGTTCCGGAGATTGCGACTACGGCTGCTGGTGTGGTTGTGCCTGCTGTGCTGCCGTCGAGGCTGGTGCAGCAAGGGGAGGAAACAAATCAGAAGCAGCAGCAGCAGCAGCCACAGCAGCAACAGTAGAAGCAGGTGTTGCAGTAGCAATGAGTTGCAACCCCGATTGCTGACGTTCTTAGTGATGGTGCTGGATCAGTGAGTGCCGGGGATTGCCACCACAACTGCTGGTGTGGTCGTGCCTGCTGTGCTGCCGTCTAGACTGGTGCAGCAAGGGGGGGAACTGGAGAAACAGCAGAAGCAGCAAGAGCACAAGCAGCTGCAGCAGCAGCAGCCGATGCCGCCTCCGCAGCAGCAGCAGCAGCAATGATAATGATTGCTAGCACGGCGGCTGGTCTTTTCATGTGTGTTGTGGCGCTGGTTGTTGACGAATAAGCACAGCCAGAGCAGCGGCAGGAAGAGGAGGGCGAACGCAAAGTAGAGCCTCGGCTCAGCAGCAGTAGATGCTCGTAGTAAGATGGGCAGAAGGGGCGGAGGTTATTGCCCCAAAACCCTGGATGGTTGTTAAATATGCTGTATATAATTGTTACTGAGGTGCCAACTAGGTATTTCATATTTTGCTGTTGATGCTCGACAGCGACTCAGCATCGGTTGAGATGAAAACTGCAGGCTTGCAATGCACTTCTCACCACCACTGGTACTGGGCTGTGGACCCATTTGTAACAACAAATTATGGAACCACATATCGGTACTATTGAAAGTAAGATGCTAGACGAGAGTAATCCTTGGGGCGGCTCAAAGAATGGTGTTAAACAGCTTGGCACCGGTCCTCTTGAATCATATCCTGCACTCTATCCAGCAGCACCTCATACGTCTTGGTCACATCTATCTTGGCCCCAGACAATCTATGATATATCCTCTCATAAGACCTACCCGGTCCCTCCCACCCCTTGCGATAGAAAATGATATTCTTCCCACCCCAATAGCTGGATAGTACTGATGTTCCCCCTTGCACACTGATGAAACAGGAGCTTCGGGCCATCATTCTAAACTGAACCTCGTTGAAACTTAGGCCCGGCCAAGCCTCGTGAATCTGCTGCATGGTTCGGAACCGAGCCTCCGAACCAAACTCCTCAGCCAGCCTCGTGTGGTCCCCCAAGTCGAACCTGTCTCCTTGCTCCGGGTCTGCCTGGATCGAATGCCCGGGCCGGTTATACACCACGAAATACCCCTTATTGAGAAACTCACGAATGATTATAAGGAGATTTGGGACATCAATGAAATTGGTAGGCGGTTCTGCCCATTCAATCTCATACTTGTTGCTTATAATCACAAGTGGAGCCCCCCCTATAGGAACATCCAGCCATACTCGCCCCAGCTCCCGTATCCGGTGCACTAATGGCGGGGGATGCCAATAATGCGGAATGTCGCTAAAATGAAGGCCCTTGGTGAAACCATACTGTTTAATAACGTAATTGTAATCGTTGGAGCGTTTACAGTTCGGGTCTGTGGAGTGGTTTGGGCTGAAATAGTAGAGGAGAGAGAGGGGGGAGGCACAAGCCCTGGTGGATCTGAGAGTTCCGTTGAGGAAATGCCAGTAGGCGTGAGGAAGGACTGCAATCAGCTCGTATCCAAACTCGCCCTTAAAGGAGATGTCTATAGCGGGATGGAGTTGTTTGTGGTGGGGTGGGTGACGGGTTGAAGGAGGAGTTGCAGGGGCAGACCCATGCGGGGGGGGGTCATCTGGGGAAAAAGTTGGATGGTTGCAGGGAGGGGGAGAATGGGGGGCAGAATGGACGGGGGAGGCCGGGAAAAGGGACAGTGGACAGATGGATGGATGGATGGGTGGATGGATGGATGGATGGATGGATGGATGGATGGAGGGATGGATGGATGGATGGATGGATGGATGGATGGATGGATGGATGGATGGATGGATGGATGGATGGATGGATGGATGGATGGATGGATGGACGGACGGACGGACGGACGGACGGACGGACGGACGGACGGATGGATGGATGGATGGATGGGTGGGTGGGTGGATGGATGGATGGAAAGAAGGCAGCCTTAGAGAGAGCACGGAAGTTAATGCTGCCAGGAGGATGGAGGATAAGGCATGGTGGAATCGCCTTTCAATAGAGGAGAGACATTCATGTCACTCACTTGAGCTACAATTTGATAAATTGCTGGCAGGTGCAGGCTCGGCAGCAGACTCGGTGGTAGGCTCGGAAGCAGGCTCGGTGGTAGGCTCGGTAGAAGGTTCGGAGGCAGGCTTAGTGTCAGAGCTAGCGTCAGGCTTGAAATTCGAACCAGCGTCTAGCTTTGCATCCGGCTCGGAAACAGTGACCGCCGTTGATTCTTCTGATGAAGCAGCATCGTGCGGTGGCGAAGAGGCCTCGTCATCTGCATGGGAGAGAAGCAGTGGATCGTTAAAAATTATCAAGAAGCAACTGATGTGCATGGAGGTGACTTTTGAGTCGACTCAAAAGCCACCTAAAAAAGTAATTCACGTGCTTGGAACAGAAGCCAGTGGATTGTTGAAATAATTAAAACACCAACTCATGTGCACGGCACGGAAGCCAGTGGCAGCAGTCGCACGTTGAGAACAACCTCATGAGAAGGAAAGAGAATGGAGCGGAGTGATGAGAGGAGGCGGAGAGAGGGGGAGCGGAGAGGAGAGAAGGGAGAGAAGGGAGGGGAGAAAGAGGAGAAGAGAGGAGGGTGGAAGGGGGAGAAGGGGGGGGGAGAGGAGAGTGGAGAGAGGAGAGGGAAAAAAAGAGGGGAGAGAGAAGAAAGGGAGAGAGAAGGGAAGGGGAGAGAGGAAGGGAAGAGAAGGGGAGGGAAGGAAGGAAAGGGGGAGAGAAGGGAAGGGAGAGAGAGAAAGGGGGAGAAAGGAAGGGAAGGGGAGAGAGAAGGAAAGGGGAGAGGGGAAGAGCCCAAATCACGTGCGCACCAGACGCGGCAGCAAGGCGGGTTGCGAGAGAGAGGGCGAGGAGCAGGAGGAGGACGCGCCACGAGCGACGAGCGACGGTGGGTGACGAGGGGCGAGCGACGGTGAGCGACGACGGACGAGCGACGGTGGGTGACGGCTGACGCGCGAGCTGAAAGGGAGTGAGCTGCGTGGCGGCGGAAGCAGCAGCAAGGAACCTTCCGGAAACAATCAGGCCGCACGAGGCGTTGCGATCCTTTCCGCACATTGGCCGATAGATGATCAGACGAGGAGTTGCGGCCTAGGGGAGTATCTTTCATAAGTGTTTCTGAGTCGTCCAAAAAATCCTTGCCGCACATTGACCAAGTCCCAAGGTATCTCGTTCGAAAAGTGCTCTGAGACGTCGCTAGCGTCAGTTTCTGAGTCGACTCAGATTCGGACGTCACTAGCGTCGGAAAGCGCTACTTTACGCAGCGGTGATGCGTGCTACTTTTTTTTTGCCCGCGGGCAGCGCGGTTGCGCAAAGCTTCCGCGTTGGTGGAAACGAACCCACCAGCTCCAGGCAATAGGTGGGTTGGTGCATTGATATTTCCGCGCCACCCGTAGAAACTGACTCGTATTCAGTTTTTATTGGCCAAAGTATTCTCTTCCAATTATTTGGGCTTCCCGTAGCAGGCTGTTCAGCCACGGGTCTGCAGAATAGATTCTTCGAGGATGCTGGGATCGCACGGCTTATTCCTTGCGAGGTAATTTAATTTTCTACCCTAACTTCCCTTCCCCAGTCGCATTGGACGTATCAATCCCAGTCGCAGTCCCAGACCCCGTTAGGTAGCACGGTTCAGGTGGTGGCTCACATGCACAAGCGAGCCGAGCTTCTAACGATGCCCGCAAGGCTTCCTTTGATGCGCCTCTAAAAAGACTCGGCTTCTGGCAAGGAGGCAAACGCTGCTCTTCTATCCCACTAGCATCACTATTCACGCCTGTTCAGGTTGAACAGCGAGTGGCAAGGAATGTGGGGAAATGGTGGTGTGGTGAGGGACGTGCGGCGGCGCGGAATTGAAATATGAGCTGATTAGGAATTGGAATGGTCTGGAGGAGCGAAGTCCGGTTTGGTCTGGTCAAGTGCGTATTCACAATTCATTACTGTAGAGGCTGCTCCTAGCTAGGAAAGCCCGAGCACTTCGCGTCAGTGTGGCTCGGCCTACACTTTCGCACCTAACCAGTTCCGAGTCGCCCATCACCAATCGCGACATTTCCGAACCACGCACGTCACGCGGTTCTCGCCTAGCACGTATTCGCCCTATATTTGCTAGCATTCTTCATTTTTCCTCATTATGTAATCACATTCTCTTTATAGAAGTCTTTCGCGCACTCTGTTTAGTACAACTCATAACACTTGGTATCAGAGCTACTTTCCTAGCTTCCCCATTTTTATCCCTCGGGGGGGGGGGGGGGGGACAGGGAAGGATGCCATGGCGACAGGAGCAGCGCAGTAGCCGGCCAGGAGAACGGGTAGTTGCTGCTAGCGGCCATGAATTTCACTGACGCTCCTACTGCACCGACGGATCCTTGCCCTCGACGGTCAAGATCGACCGTGGCCTCCCTCCCCCCGGGTG